ATAACTATCTAATAAAACTTAGTCATTAATAACCTTGTCTTGAAAGTACAAACATGTATGCTACCTTCGTGCATCCCTTTATTGCGCGCGTCTATCGGTCATTGGTCAGCGCCCTGGTTGTAATAATGGCCTATATTAACCAATTTCAAGGAGATGCGAGGACAACATTATAGGAAAAGGTGATATTGTCAAAAATTATTAGCTATAATAATATTTTTATTGACACTTCTTATAAGTGTCAATATTATGTAACGGACTCACCCCGTTACAGGATTCAAATACAAGTAACTCCTGCAGCTTCGAGTGGCTAATGTCAATAAGGTTGTATGAAATACTACTCGGCACTTCATTACATTTACTTGGTGTCCTTCTACCATAAATGAAAGTGCACGTATTTGTACTTTCTTGTTGCTGATGGATGGGTAGTTGTCCAAGTGCACAACTCACCCATTCGTCAGCAACAAGGCTCCTTTGGCTTTGGTAGGCCAGAGATAAATGCCTTTCACTGTAACTTGCCATGACAGTAAAGGTTCGGAATTGTCTACTCAAATGTCGGAAAATGGACTATATATGTTAATTCGCGTCGTGCAATGCCGTCCATATGAACTAAAAAAGAGTCAAGTGAGTGATGGGTGCGGAAAGTGGGTGTGACTTCGATTTTCCGTGAGTGAGACATAGATTTTCTTCAAATATTATAAAAGAAATTCCTTTGAGCTAAATTTCCCGTGACCAGATTCAAACAATCCACGCGATCTCACAAAATCAGTCGAAAGCGCGCTGGCCCAACCTCTGGCTCCACTGAAATTGCTGCTGTAACTTGAATAGGACGTCCAACGTCGAAAGAAATCAGGCTACATTCGTATTAGAAAATTAATGCATTGTACAGAAAAAGTCTGCACGGATCATTGTTGAGCTGTACATTTCTGCAAAACAGTCCTAATCAGATAAACTGCGCAAGTCCACACTCATAAACATGGCACAACACCACTGCCTAGTCCTGTACTGCCAGCCTTATGCAGCGAATTACTTCGTGGACCAAAAATTGGCGCCTTCTTCGGAATCCGAATCCCACATGAACGAATTGGCGCCCCATTTTACACCTTCTTGAGGCGGACAACCACCGTGGCGACTCATGGGGTCAGGAATGCCATCTGGGGTTTGGACGTAAAAGAGAGAAGCATGCAAGCCGAGAGGAGGCAATGCTAGACCAGAAGAGCATTCGTCCATTCCGTCGCGTACGATTTCTTCATCCGAATACCGATCCAATGAGAAAGGAAAGACCGTCTCACCACCAACTTTGGTCTGGTTGTTCAAATATAGGAACAGTGTCACATACCGCTGCGGATGGAAATGCTGAACGTACTCGGGCAGCTTGTAACGCAGCTCCGGGACGTTACCAACACGTGCTTCCCAGGTACGGATCGCCAGCTCGGCGAACTGCGGCCAAACCTGCATCATTTTGAGTAGAACGTGGTTGCGTCCGCGGTTAAACACCATCCAGTCGTACCATTCCGAATTGGTCATGCGTATAATAAAGCCCGGGGTGTAGTCATCAAGGATAAATCCCGTCAGCATGTCTTGGAACTTTACTGTAGACCGGGGATACAAGCTTCCATTAGGACGAGCGTCCGCCGGCACCTTATCTCCTAAAAAGCTCACGCGTTCCTTCGCCCAACGAACCCAGTAAAAAAAGTGTGAAACGGAGTTCGTGTCGTGCTTGGGAAACGTGTAGCGAAGCTCACCAAGACCCAGCTTCTCCTCCCACGTCTTGACAATGCTCGGCAAGTACGATGGTCGCTGGTCCGTCTCCATCAGGGCCTCCATCATGTTTTCGGTACCATTGTCCAAATTCAGACGAATCCACTCGTCATACTTGGTATCAAACAGCGCGTTGAATCTGTTGGACGTGTTCATGTATTCATGAAACGCCTCAAGAAGTGCATTCGGAAAAATGATCGGATCATCAGCATTCGGAAACAACGGATCACCCTCCCGAAACTTTTCAGGTACACTGCTCTGGTCCAGGCCACGAAGTTTTTCTGCTGCCCACTTAGTCCACACCACGTAATCCTCAAACTCAAACGAGTCTGCGCCCTTCGGCAAGACCTCGCGTGAGTGAAAGGTATCAAAGTGCTGCCGGTAAAACTCACCAGCAGCGTACCGCACCAATTGCATCCTCCCAACAAAAGAAGGACTTGGAAGTCGACTAACACGGGCCGAGCGCTTTTGAAAGTCACGCGTGAACAAGCTGTCAGGCAAAAAAGCTGTGTGGCTCGTGCGTGACTCCGACACCACTTTAGACGTATTGCCTCCGTCCACCATTGATCGGTTCAGGGTCAGCGACCCAATTTCAATAACCTTATCAGCTTCTTCCTGGGTGAAAAAGTACTTCACATCAAACACCTTGGGACTAATACCCATAGTCGTCAACGTCACACCGTCCTCCAAGATGTACTTGTATCCCTTCTTGATACCAGGCCACTGCCACAACTGAAAGTCTAACAACACATGAACGATATTGTTCGTATCACGTAACTCCTTTGTATTGCGAACTGGCCAGCCCATTTGACTGTAAAGACGTACGCCGTTCGCCATCAAATCTCGGTCTGCACCAAGCCACGCCGCTGCCATCTCCGCCGCCTGACCCAAACAGTCAAATTGACCATTCCAGGACACGTAGACGCCGTCGTTGGCACCGTTGAGCATGAAAAAAACTCTGTCGTCGGTCATGGGCTGCTCTGCCTCCATTGGCTCCGTAACAGGGAACACTTTACCTTCAAACAACGTCGAGGCGGAGTAGTCGGAGTCATTGCATTTCAACTCACTCACAAGGTGGCGTACCTGGATTGCCACCATGTCCGTCTCGTATTTGTACGGGACATTTTCCGTACTGGAGTCTACGAGTCCTGACTTGGCTCCAAAGATGGACACGAGGTCGTCCAGACTTTGCAGACCGCCGGTACTCAGTGGTACATTTGCGTACTTGGCGTAACCTATAGCGAGCGCCACTACTACACCGGTCGATAGAATCGGCAACAAAAAGCTAGAGCTTTTCTTGGTCGTAGGTTTCTTGGGGCAGGCGGACTTGTCGTTGCTCGAAGCGGGTTCATTTTCAGACATTGGTGTACTTGACACTAAAGACGAATCACTCGTTGTACTTATGAGAGGTTCTAGATAAATCGTCAAATGCCTGCCAGCTGACGTACGTCAATTGCGTCTTTCGAGCGATGTGATTGGTCATAAGAATTAATGGATTGTTGGTGAGACAGTGAAAGCGAACCCTACTCCTTGCGATCGACCAGCAGATAATACTGGACGCAAGTAATATGACCGTGAAAGATTGCAGCAAAACCGGAGCTTATCCGTTGAGCTTAACGCTTGATCTGCTCGAGCAAACCCTGTCGGATAAGCTGCTCCACGACTACACGTCGTAGGAAATGCTGCGAATGTGCCGTTAAATTCACTACCCCGCTCTCTGTCATAACCTCGCCGCAATCACGCAATACGCGCACCTCCACGTACAAGTCCTTTGGAGGTTTCAGATCCTGCGACAACAATCGCAAGATCAGCACGAGCATTTAACCAATTGCAATAAACAGCCAATATAGTACCGCCGATAGATCGAGCTCAAAGTCGGTCATGTAATCCGTCAGCAGCTGGTCATACTGATGAAAGAGCTGCACCTCACGCTGGCATAAGCTTTCGAAACAAAAGAGCAATATCTCAGTATGTTGCAATCAAACTTTAGTACTTGGTAGACATGTACGAACTTCTGAGCCAGCGAATCAGGGATAATGGTACCCGTTTCCCACCGCAGTGCTTTAATCTTTTCCATGCGGTGATATCTGCAAGCAGAGTAATCATCTCAGCAATGTTGCACTCATTACAACTGATACTTTCAGTGAAAGAGTTACCTACACATAAGCAATGAGACAACGCTTATTGCGCAGTAGACACTGGTGGTTCACGACGAGTCCGCAATGCACGGACGCCGGTTGTGTTTCCAAGTTGTCTTGGAATGCCCTGTTCTCAGCAAGTAGCACAATAGTCGCAATAATTAGCGTCCTCGTCAACCTAATAGCTGTAAATCCACGTCGCACGTCATCTTCCTCGCTATCTCCTTATGCAGCAGTCGTGACTCCTCCACCACCTGTCGCACCAGATCTTCCTGCACGATGCCAACCGTCAATCATCATCATCACTAGTAGTTCCATAAAGCAAACAACTATCCTTATAACGCCATATCTCTCTACTTTGCTCACATTAAATGGCGGTAGCCAGTCGCTACGCTGCAACTCTCGAAGCAGCTCTTTTCCCATTGCGTTCATTGTGCCAAAAAGCGAACTTAAGAGATGCAATACCTTCATGCGAACCTATCGGAGTGATGTCCACGTCGCTTCAACGTCAGCAATAGCTAGCAGCAAGGACAACAACTTGTAGCCTGAGGTCCTCGTTGAGGCTTTCCACTCTTATCCTTTATGCTCACACAATCCAAAAAGTAGTTTCGCAGTTTTGCATCCAACGACGCAAATTTCACAAGTGTCATCAACGAGAGGTTTTTTTACGGGCTCTATTGAAGCGAACAAGGATGCCCATCAGCACTACAGAAGCTGTTGCAATCACGTCTAGCATCTACGCTGACGGAAAAGGCTGCTGGAGCTTGCAGAGCTGGTTCAAATGGTCGCAAGGATCGAGTGAGACGACTTTGGGGACCTCGCCACGACACCCGTTGCTCTGTTAGAGCAAGCTTTGGCTGCATGTTGTAAACATATTCATAGGTGTGAGGAGAAGGAAGAACTTTCAACGTAACGGTAATCCGGCTGCAGTCTTCTTGATGTAATCTGGGCGGTGGATGAGTATGCAGTCCTCCCAGGTCGAGGAACCGTAGAAGCGACGGGGACATCTGCACGAAAGCCAAGTAGATCTGCTACTTTGAAATGAAAGACCACAGCACGACTTCATGTCGAGCTGAAAAACTGCCTAATAAGTAAGATAGATGGATATTTGCTAACATCGAAGAAGGAGCTGATGGTCAACAAGAAAGGCGTCGCAAAAAACGTGATCCTTGCCATAGGCTTACTCTTAAATACCTCTATCGAAGTCCTCTTTTGATCGCTAGACCGAGCATGGCCAGTAGGTATCGCTTCTTTGAAAATTTCGAGCAGGTACAGGACGAATCAGCCTTGTCGCTATGTCAGCTAGAAAACTGTGCTACCAGCGAACATTTGACAACTAAAGAAAGCGGTGAGGACAGATTGGTCGATAACAAGTCAAAGAAAAAGAAAAAATCAAATGCAAAAACATGAAGGAAGAGGGAATAAATCTAACATACGTCGATGTTCGATTTGGGTGTAAGCATTGAATGTTTAATTTCAAGCCCGCGATAGAAGCGTACGCTATAAGAACGTTGGCAGTAAAACATCGAGCGACCCGTTCCGAGTATGTTACTTCATCAATCAACACCTGAAAGTGTGTATACGCATGTTAGTGTTTCCAGTACATCGTGGAAGCCATCACATTTAAATGAAAACGCAGCAACGCTACGACTCTATTGGGAGATCATAGCTAATATATTGCCGTTTTGTTTTCTTTCATCTGTACATTTTGTTTTCTCTCATCTGTACATTTGCCTACCCAAGAATCACTCTAAATATTGGGTCAGAGAGCTGTTGGAAAGTGGAACTTCGTATCTAGCCGGGTACTAGATGGACGCCGGTGAAGTCTGCTAGGTTGTTCTAAAATAGTCTATTTTGAGGTAGTTCTAGAATGTTCGATGCATCGGTAAACTGTGTGGCAGCGGCAGAGGCCGCTGCACTGAGTAGGATCACTTTGCGATCGGTAAGCCACTGAGGAGGCCCGCGGCGGCGGGCCGAAACGCGTCTGGCACGCGTCCGTAAGTACAGTCATTTTGTCATGCTTTTTAAGTTCCAACAAGAGCTTGCTTAAAATGTAACGAATGAACTTAGTAGAAAATTGAACATCACATCAATAAAAAAGGGGAAACGTCATCCAACCTTTTTGCTAGTTCCCAAATTATATAAATTTGACAGGTCAGAATGCCATAATTAAAACATCTTGATGGATAGCAAAGAGGTGTGTGATGAATAACGCCTTAAAAACAAAAGCTAATTAATTTGCTTTTATAGAAGTACAGTATAGTAAAGCTGACAACCAAGAATTCTATACATTGTTTTCCTGTATTCATTAACTACTTGTTACATCGACATTCTCCACCCAACTTTTTAGTAAATGGGTAACAAAATACTCTATCCTGATGCAGATACCCAACAAACACCTTTTGTCTTCACTGAATTAAGTCTTGATCAAGATCAACATCATGGAGTGCGCCATGTTGGCAAGCAAGCTTGTTGCAGTCGGAAGACGATAAGATTCTGTATATTAATTGCTTTGACTTTTTCTATACCTGTCTTCTAGCCACTCTCTCTCCAAACACTTGTGGTAGAGTGGGTTATCAAAATTGTATGATGAGACCCCAAACCACTCATTGTGTCGGACTGCCGAGTCGGACACAGTGAGTGGTGGAGGGGGTACCCCGATGCCCATATTAACCTTCTTCTCACCTCGTGTACCCGTCGGATGGCGGTTTGCACTCTTCAGAAGACTTGGTGAGGATGTAGACGTCTGCCTTGAGGGAGGTAGACCTGGGGGGCCTCGAGTGGATATGCTTCACTTGGTTGGCCAGTAAGTGGCCACTCGATCGACCTTGTCGAGTTTGGGCTTAGAGCCAAATTCTTCAGGGAGCTTGTCGTCCCTGGCCTTTTCCTTCTTGTTTCAGGGGTGACCTTTACTTTGCTCCCGGACCTTGAGGTGAGGGAGACCGCTTCCGATAGCGGGTCTTGGGGGGGGGGTGTTGCTACTCGAACGAGCTCACAGGCCAAATATATCCTGGAGCTCTATTCGCCCTTGAACTTCGCTACACAACTGTCTTCGACGGGGGGCCAAAATATATCCCTTCCCGGAACAGTGAGTAGTTCTTCTTGAGTGACGGAGTCGTGCCACGTAGATCGCAAATTGAGTAGTATTTAATATATTCCTATCCTTTTATCTCCTTTACTCTATTCTTGCCTGAAGCTCTGATTCCTTGCGTCGACTGGTCTGATCCTCGTGTCAACTGGTCAGGAGTGACTGAGTACCGAGGGACGAGGAGGACCAACGAGGGACCCAGGTATACCAACGAGGGACCGGACCGACCAATAAGGTACCGGGTCTACCGACGAGGGACCGGGTCTACCAACGAGGGACCGGGTCGACCAATGAGTGACCCAGGTCTACCAACGAGGGGCCAGGTCGATTAATGAAGGGCCATGGTCAACTCCCTCCGGTACCGGTTGACAGGTACCCTGATACTGATTTTTCTTCTGTAGGTCCTGCAGATTGTTCTTTGCCAACGGTCGCTCGCCCTCAAGGCCCCTGTCTCTCTTTTCTATTATCCCTGACCCACGGTCTTTACTCCGAATCCAACTGGATTCTGGGGTCCCCATATCGCAAAAACAGCACTTCACCACACACTCTGTGCTCCAACCATCTCGATATAGATGGTTGCTAATCAACCCTACTAATACCCACTTTCACTGACCATCCACGACCAGATGACGGCTGGCTATTCGCAAATCACGATCTTCAGCCTCAACTTCCAACACTTCTCCTCGATTGCGCCTCATGTCTTCTCTCTCTCCATCCTCCAACGTCCTTTCCCTTCCTTAGCGTCCTTGACATCCTTCTAGCTTGAGCTCCTCTCGCGCGCTTCCACCATGTCGCGCACGATGACGCAGCCATCTCGCCCGCTCTCTCTCTCTCCAGTCCTTCATCCGCGTCGCGCTCTTACTTAAGCCGTATCAGGCTGCGCAGCTTCGCCATCTTGGTTACGTCGAGAGGCTTTCGTCATCAGATCCGCGATCATCAGCGCGGATCGAACGTGCTGCGCCATGACGATACCGCGTCGATAGAGATCGCGCATATGCTTATGCCGCACGTCGATGTGCTTGGCCTTAATCGAGGAGGCTTTGCCTTCAATCTGGCTGATGGCTGCCTGATTGCCCACGTGCATCAGCATAGGAGCAACCGGCGCCATGCCCACCTCTCCGAGCATCTGGTGCAAGCCAATGAGCTCACGAGCGACCTCCGACACCGCGACGAACTCAGCCTCCATCGTCTAGAGGATCATACCGCCCTGTTTCTTTGCGGTCCATGACGCTTCCATCCCATTGAGGAGCACCACACCTATGCTAGCAACTTCCGGTACGCTTTGTCAGCTGCAAAGTCGGCGTTGCTATAGGAATCGAGCTGCAGCGCGTCACGACTCATTCGCGCCGGCGCCATCTCAATCTTAGGCGTCTCGGTGCCCTTGAGGTACCGCGCGACATACTTGGCGATCTTCCAGTCGAGCACCCGAGGAGCATGCGTCTGCTTAGTCGCTTTGTGCACTGCATCGCGCGACCCACAGTAGGCTCCCGACGAGCGACTGGAACGCATTGATCGTCGCACCACCACCTGTGCTTGTCGTTTCCAGCAACGCGACGTCGTCCTCAACCACCTCGTAGTAGTCGTCCCCAATCGGCGTCTTCGTCGGGTTTGCATCGCTCATCCCATGAGCACGAAGGAGCTCCTTGATGGCCTACCCCTGGTCTATGCGGTACGCGCCGTCGCTTCCGAGCTTCATACGCATCCCCAAGAATTGTTGACGTTTACAAGGCGACAGCGACGCAAGGCTTACGAAGAATCTCTCGACCGCTGCGACACTCGTTCCAGTCGCCAACAGGTCGTTCACGTAGACGCCGACAACGAACAGCTCGATGCCGTCGCGCTTGTGGTACAGACACATGTATGACTAGCAGCGCTCGTACCCCGCATCGCTGAGTCGCGCATGATGTAACTGGTTCCAAAGGATCCCAGCTTGCTTCAGCCCGTACAGGCTCCTCAGCATCTCCAAGACGACCTCGCCTGGATGCGTAGCACCGATATTGCGCAGATTGATCTTCGACACGGTAATACCGCGTGGAACATGCAAGTAGATGTCGAGGCGTGTTTTCTTCTCGGCACGCACGTATACGTTCGGGATGTCTCCGTGCTTGGTCTACACGCCTCACGTTGCTGCGAGCGCCAGCAAGCCCTTTGCCGTCGAGATGTCCATTAAAGTGTAAAAGGTCAGAATGCAATCGATGTGGAGCATTTGCTTATTGCCGCGTGCGACAAGCCTCGCCTTGTATCGCTAGAGCTCTTCGTCAACTCCCGTCTTGATCTTATAAACCCACTTGAAGTGGAGAGCGTTCACGCCCGGTCTGCGCTTCGTGAAGCGCCACACATCGTTGCTCTCGAGCGCGGCGATCTCCTCTTGCATCGCTGTCTACCATTCCGCGCGCTTCGTGCTGCGCATGGAATCTCCATAGTTAAGTGGATCGCGCTCTAAAAATACGCTAACCGCCTCCTCTCGCATCTCTCTCCTCCTGACGTGCAGCTGATTGCTCTCACTTCAATGCGCTGCGCGTTCTGCTCGCTTGTCGCTCCCATGGCTTATTGGTCTTCTTGCGAGATCCGTCACCATCTTGCGCTGCTCCATTTTCGTCGCGAATCGCCACTACTGCCTCTACAGTTGGCGCTGTCCCTTCCGCTTCGTCTTCTCGATAGCCATCCTCCATTGCGCGCTCCAGTTGTGCGTTCTGCGCATCGGACAGCGTGGAGATATTATTCACGTGTTGTATGACGACTAACCTTTTTTCTCGCTTAAGGAGGACCTTGTACCCCTTCGTCTCCTCTCTCACGTCCACGATGATGCCTGTCTGCGATCGCTGCTGCAGCAAGCTCTTGCGCGTATCGCGTTTGACGCTACACGAAGACCGAAGACGACGATGCTATACAGATCCGGCGTCTTTCCCGTCAGCACCTCCATAGGCGACGCTCTCTTTGCGTTCGCTCGCGTTGGGCTTCGGTTCGAGACGTGGACGGCGTACTGCACCGCTTCGCCCCAGATCTGCAACGGCAGCGCGCATGCGAAGTTTATGCTGCGCGCGAGAGTAAGCACCGTCCGTTGCATCCTCTCTGCCTTGCAGTTCGATGCCTGGTTGGGCGCTTCTGACACTTGGTGCGCGACACCCATGCGCTTGCAGAACAATTCAACATTGGGGTACTCGCCACCGTCGTCCGTTCGCAGCACTTGAGTCTTGAAACCGAAGAGATTCTCAAAGTGGACGAGAAACGATTCAAACTGCTTCGCCGCCGCGTCCTTCGTGCGCAAGAGGAACACACGGCAGTAGTTCGACTTATCGTCGATGAAGTTGAACAAATATCTATTGCCGAGGCGATCCTGCGGCGTCATTGGGTCCTTAAGGTCCGAGAAGATGACGCCGCCGATTCTTTCGATTGGAAAGTTGGCGTAGCTGTCTTGCTGTGACTGCGCGTTTTACGTCTGCTTGTCCTCGAGGCATGACACTCAAACCATGCGCTTCTTGCTGGTCATTCGAATTCCCGACGGCGGATCGCGCGCCATACGCTCGATCTTATCGAACGCTAGGTGGCCGAGTCGATGGTGCCAGTGCAGCAGCGAGGCTTTGCGCATGCCGTTCGCATCAGCATCCATCGCACATTCTTCGAGCGCGGCCATGATCGCATCTTCAGCGCTGTGCCTCCCTTGTGTCGCTGTAGTCTTAACGTACAGCACGTTGCTGTCGGTCACAATGTCGAACACGACTGTACCGTCGCTGCGCCGTACTAGCGCGCCTTTGTTGCCGTCGTACACGAGGGCAAACCCTTTGCTCTCCCGCTTCCCGTACGAGACGATGTTATTCGCCAGACGCAACGCAAGATAGACTTTGTTCAGAATCATATCCATCTTCATACCGCGTGCGAGGAACTCAAGGCGCACATTTCTGACACGCGTCAGCCGCAGTGACTCACCATCTGTCATGACAATCTCGTGGACGCAGGCAGTTGAGTCGATAAGAATCGACTCGTCGTTCACGAGGTGTGTGCTCGCACCGCTGTCGAGGATCCAGTCACCTCGATCGATGTCAATCGCATCGTTTGCGGATAGCACAAAGCCTTCCGCGGAGGTCAAGGCTTGCGCCTTGTCGCTCGCGTCGCTCGCAGGATCTGCTTTGCCTCGCAATTTCTTCTTCTTCTTGCTTTTGGCTTTTTTCGTGCGAGCCACAGAAAAATTTTCCGTGAGCGCAAGCACCATGTCGGCGCTCATGTTGCTCGTCTCGTATTCAAACACGACCCTTGACTTGCATTCGGACACGACGTGATCCTCCCTGCCGCAGCGGAAACACGTTCGTGTGTCTTGGCGCTTCGTCTCGACATGCGCCGCAACAACTTCGCGACCGACCGCACCGCTGCCGAGCTCGATCGACTGAGCAAAGTGCGCCAAATACTCAGCGTGGCGCAGGTAGTCGGATCGGTTCGGGTCGTACTTCGCCCGCATGACATTCATCAGTTCTGTCGAAGCGTGGTGCACGATTTTGTCGAGCACAAGCGAGTCAGCACCACCGCGCGCGTCGCTGACGGCTACTATGTAGAGGAAGTGCGCATCCGAGGTGCGTCGCGCTTCTTTCTTTGCCATGAACAGATTCATGGCCTGGATCGCCGTGATTGTCGTCTTGAACGTTAGGTGCAGCTGGTCCATGATCTCGGCTGCTGAATCCACCAAATGTTGACCTGTTTGTGATAGTAGCGCTCCGCAGTACCGGCCAAGAAGTGGCCAAGGAGGTCGACCTCAACGCCCTCCGTCCACGAAAAAACACACGACGCTTCAGCGGGGCTCACGGCACACATGAAGGTGCGACCCCAGTCAAAGAACTCGCCTTCGAGCCCTTTGTAGAGCCCCGTCCCATCGAACTTGTGAATGTTGAGTTTTCGCTGACTCGTGGTCGGCATTCCGTAGTTGCCTATCGCTGCAGTCTTGTGCGTTGCAGGTTCCGGAGCTTCTTGACGCGTCGCGTCCATGGAATCGGCCGCTCGTGCCGGCATGCGATGCTGAGCTGAAGGCTGTCCGCGCGGCGTCGCGAGTGAGGAAACAATCGACTAGCCGTCATCTGGCCAACAAGCGTGCGCGACGTGCTTCTGGTTTCTCCTCCAGCGGCCCAAATGCGTCTATGGTCATGGGGTGCCCGCGCATGTTCGCTGCAAGCTTGGACGCAAACTTGTCACTTTCGACAGCTTCAAGCATCCTCTTATCTTCGTACCGGACGCGCTGCGAAGACTCTATCTTCGCCAGGCGGCCGGTGCGGCGAGGTCCGCGGGGATCTTGTCATCGATCTCCTCGCCCATTTCGTTGGCGGACAGCGCTTCGACGGCTGCCGGCGTGTTCACCGAAGATGGCACACGCTCTGGCGAGCCACGCCCTGTTCCAGCTTGTGCGACACCTCATGGTGTCTTGGCGGTCGCTTCATTTTATCTAGCCATGGAGCTCACAACCTGTTGACAAGTAAGCTTGTTGCGGTAGGAAGAGGATGAGATTCTGTATATTGATTGCTTTGTCTTTTTGTCTACCTGTCTCCTAGCCACTCTTTCTCCAAACACTCTGTTCTCTAACCATCTCGATATAGATGGTTGCTAGTCAACTTGTCTACTACCCACTTGCACTGACTGTCCATGATCAGATGACGGCTGGCTAATCGCAACTCACAATCTTCAATCTCAACTTCTAACGCACCATTCGCTCACTCGCTGAACTAGATGAATGCGCTAGAGATTACTGGAATGCAAGTCAAAGCGTGTACATCAATTGCACATGGCATAGCAAGTTTCTTCGTAAAGCTGCTCCTTATAGTGGTAATAAATAGTTAAGAAAGTGTAGTTACGACTCTGGCCTGCATGTAAAGTAACGAAGTGCTTACGATTAAATACTTTGTCCATTATTTCCTTAATAATTGGTGGTTATGTCCACGTAACAAATAGAAGATAACATCGACCAATCAGATGCCACCGTGTATTACCCATTTACTTAATAATTGAATAAATCTGATCGATCTAAAGCCTCTCAAATTAAATAGTTTCTTAAAGGTTTCGCCCCCTAATGTTGCGCTTGGTAGGCAACTTAATAACCATCGAATCGTGCGGTCCAGAACTTCATAGCCAAGCCCAAGACTGATAGAACAGACATACTACCCCCCCCCCCACATACGACGATGCTCGGCCGTATTGCTCTCCGCAAGGCGGTACTTAGCTCATCCAAGCTCACATCGACCAAGATGCTTCGTCCCATGGGCATTCATAGTACCAGTGTTGTAAGCAAGGACGAGGAGGAAATCGCTGTCCCGACACAGGGTCTACTGGATCAAGCTGGTCTGACGGACTGGAAGATCTCGGCTCCGATTATCGGTGCCCTCGCCATTCCTGCCATCTCCAACCACGTACGTGCTGTTTTAATGTCGATATTAGACACAGCAAACTGATTTCTTGCGTAAAATTTGCGGTATTTTGAACAGTTTTACGTACTGAACGAGGAATCGCAATTGGCCTGCTGCTTTTTGCTCTTTTGCTCGGCCACTTACAAATTTGGTGGTGAGATGATCGCCTCATACTTTGATGACCGTGCTGCTGCCATTTTAAAGTGAGAGAATGCAGATTTTTGAGAGCTTTAGTTATCTAGTGATGAGAAAAAGACTAAGTTGTTGTTTTCTCTTGTAAAATAGTGAGCACAACGCTGTGGAGGATGCTAATCTGGACCTGGCCAAGGAGACGCTAGAGACCCATAAGGCCATGCTTCTCATCCATGAGGACATTGCTACATTAGCTGAGGCCCACAAGGAAGCCGTCGCGCTACTGTGCAAGGTGCAGGCCTACAAGTTACGCCACAAGACGCGCGAGACGTTCGTGAAGAACCTCGAGTCTATCCGTGAGATTGAGGCTAGCTACAATCTTGAGTTGCAGAAGAACATGGTGGCTAGCGCTACTAAAAAGGTGCGTGCTATTGTCCAGACTGGCGATAAGAAGCTCAAGGACGCCGCCTTTAAGCACGCCGTGGACATCCTTGGCAACGCTAGTTTGGATGACAAGAAGGAGGATGACGTGGCTGCTCTCTTTACAAAGGAGCTGCGCGCCTATGCCTCAGACCTTGAGGCGAAACAGGGCCAGGTGATTAAGCTCACGGAGGCGGAACAGAGTGAGCTTCAGGCCGATTTGGACGCCTACATGAACCGTTTTGGCCTCGAGGACGCCAGCTTCAAGGCCCCCAAGGAAGTCAAGATGGAGCTGATGTAAGCTGCTGTTGTCTGAGCTGTGGTACCCTACAGTGCAATGCAGGTGGAGCCAAATGCGTGCGAGTTAGCAAGAGTCAAACTACATGGAAAAAGGACAGTAAAGCTCGGCCTGAAGGGGTTCACTTGGTAGTTTAAAAATGAATGGACCATCCATCTACTTGAAAGAATAAGCAGAGGTTGAGAGGGATTCCCATGCAGCCATTGTCTAAGTGTAACAATGCCAATGTTGTTATCCGATCGATGTTACGTATTGCTTATTTAGACACAAATCCTTTGGCAGGTTATATAATTAAAGAGGTTTTTTACAAAAAGAGGGTCATTTCTGTCATTTTTCAATTGTTCCTCTAAAGGACCAAACGAGAGACAAAAGTTATGGGCCGAAGGAAAAAATCTACTAAAAAGATCCAAACGCGCAAGAAACAAGTGGTTTCAACTGTTTTTAAATGCCCCTTTTGCTCTCATGATGAGGCCGTCGAGTGTAAAATGTATGAATTTCTTTCTTTCCATCGTTTTCGACTCTTTTTTTCCAATAATGTGTTTTCTTTACTTGTTTTACGTAGGGATCGTGAACGTAACATTGGTCACTTGTCTTGTCGTGTATGTACTGAAAGTTTTCAGACTTCTATTCATTGTACGATACTTTATTTATTAATTTTGAAGGGTTTGGATGGAATTTGTAGACTGATAAAAGACGTTGGGATGATCTATTTGCAGATTTGAGTGCACCTATTGACGTGTATACGGACTGGATTGACGAATGCGAGGCATTGAATGCATAGGAGAGAACTTTGACATTGTTGAATAGGATCAGACTTAGATGGACCAATTAGAGTTAACGAGTCTGGAGCTAGTGTGGTTGATACTTGATACAAACAATTGTAGATAAGTAGACAGGAGAGACTGAGGTTACTGATAATAATCTGGTGGTTATTATGCATTATGTTATTACTATCTCAGGGGCTTGTGGTGACGAGATGCACATGCTAGAGCGCGTGTCGAAGGACATTGTGAGCAGAGAGTTTTCGGCGCTTATAAAACAATACGTAAGCAGCATCCGTCACCACGTCACCTGCTGCAATCTCCGAGACCTTTTCATCATCGAAACAAAACCACAGATCGGAACACTGGACATCTCCGTGTTCTTCACTTTCTTTGAAAAGTGCTGAACTTTCGGGAAAGTCGGCATCGTAGCGACAATAAGCTGTGTAATGACCCCGTGTCAGTCCACCAACGTGATTCACTACGGCGTACAAGTCATAAAGTGACGAATCTGCTTCATCCTGGTAACCCATCCATTTTGAAAAGTCCAGACCCTTTAATGGGAAATCAACAAGTGCTCGCACCTTCTGCTTGTGTTGGTTTTCAAGGTACTGAAATCGCTTCAGCTGAACCATCACTAGATCAGGAAGCCGCCAAATGGCAGACAACCGTTTGCCTTCTCGAGGAACGCCGCACTGTTCGCAGACCCAATGGTCATCGAGCAAGATGGCTTCCTCGCACATCAATGCATCCATACACTTGGTCAGCGGGACAGCATATCTCGGTGGACTATCGTCGTCCGTTGCTGGTTCAGTTCCTTGTACATTCTCCATTTCTCGTTCGGGAATTGTATTTCCATCATCGCGCAAGCTTGGATCCATTTTAGCAGCCTCAATCACTCCTTCTGGCGCGTCATCGGGTACACGCACTTCACGACTTGTATACTCATGGTAATCAGTCCAATCTAGCGCAAGAACACTACGCGTCGAAAAATGTTGGAGCAACGCACTATGATCAATGGGTAGCAGCTCGCCACGATCACTAGTCAACTTCTCCAGATTCACAACGCGGACTTTATACGGTAGCGTCGGTTGTTCAACGCCATTGTCTTGATTGTTCCCGACACGCTTGCGATCGATATCAAAGCTACGCCAGAAGCGAGCTGTCTGCAGGAAAAGTGCCTGATGCATGTCTTGTCCGGTTTTATCAGATGCGATAGTCACAAACAGTGGAGTGCCAAACACGTTCAAGAATGGTTGCTCATGCGTGCTAAGCTCTTCTGTAAATGAATGATGCCTGCCACTTGTCTGTCCTGCCTCAGACAACGAGGGACGAGATACAAACCGGTGCACGACTTGCACCTCAAATACTTCTGTCGTTTTGGAAGTCTGAGCATGCAAAGGCTGAAGTCGCCTTGACCGCCAGTCGTAGGGGTTAAACCACTTGTCCCACTTGCTACTGAAAGCATCGAAATGAACGCAAACACGTTGATGGTGCTTTCCACGAACATTGTTCTTTTCAGAGTCACTGCTTCCAGCTACTTCGATCACCGTGCCTGAGCGCCAGCTATTGTAATTGTCTTTTACATCAACACGCGAGCCCACTCGAAGATCAAAAAAGCTTCTGGTTCTCTCATCAGCACGTTCCTTCTCATCAGAATCAGCGACATCGGTTGTACACGCGTTAAAGTACTCGGCTATTGTCGCAGGGACAATGGGTATATCTGCAAGAGTCCAAGCACGTTCGTAAGCAGCAAGCGATTCAGGAGCAACGGTTGCTAATTTGTCGACAAGCTCGTCTTGCTCAACAATTCTCTTAATGCGGTTTCGACATACTTCCACAAGCAAAAATCGGTTCCCACTAGCGCGTACGTGCGCTGTAGCAATACGATCGCATAATGCACCTACGGTACTGCCTCGACGAAGCCAATAGCCACGCTGCTTGGTTTGCAGTGCCGTTCCTGAATCATTATCGTCATTGCCATTGTCATCACCTGGTAATTTCTGCGCTTGTAACAGCACGCTTACTTCTACACGTACAAAACTCGATTCTGGAATAGGAAGACTGAAGAACAGATTCGGATCAAACGTGCACTTGCGTTCGCCACACGTACCACAAACGGTTTCGCTACGCATTTGGCCATGAAAAAGATCCACCACGATGGAAGAGTTCACACTATTGTAATCATGCCAAGCTGCATCACCCTGAACTTCATCGGAAGGTATTCCTGCTGTCTCAAGGTGAGATTGAGAAATTTCATCATAACTTTCCTGGTTGTCCTCACCAATGAAACTACCAAATCCCAGACATTTTGAGCTTGTTTCTTGGATGATGTCATCAGTAGATGCTGCAATCGTTCGGTAGCCTTGGTTCAGGTCCTCGTGCAGACAGTCAAGAAGCGCGACCATAAATTCATGCGCATCATACTGGCGCGTCTCCTCAAAGTGACTACAAACTCGTGTGAACTCGTCTCGAAATCGACCAGGGAGCAGGTAACCTTGGTCACGCTCACGCCAAATAGCACTTTGAAGTTGTGCATACGCTGCAGCAATGGCCCCTCGACTACCAAGACGATTCTTCTTGTTTACCTCGGATTCAAATCGATTTGACAAAAAGTACTCGCGAAACACTGGCGAGTGAAAGAAGCATTGGAGAGCGCTGTTCATGAAGCAGGTATTCCCCATATTAACGAGCCCCGTGGCTCGAAGACCGACATGTTCCACCAGCCTCCCACGAGACGTTCTCGTTGCTGCTTTCATTTGTTTGGTAAGCCCAGCAAGTACACCACCAGAACCTAAGTGCGCGGATACTGGCGATGCGGTGGCAGCAGCCTCTTGTTCGGCAGCCATACTCTCGCGAAGAAGCTTCCAGTCGCCATTTTGAGCAAACTTAGCAAGACTTACACTTGGACAGCAGATAAAATCGTTCCCTACGGGTTGTAGCATGGCAACGTTCAAAAGCGTTCGGGGAAGAACTGTTGCTAAGCTGCTTCTTCGATGTTGATGTGCAACACAATGTGGGTCGTCGTCAATGCTTGATGCTCGAAAGTACACGAGTAGTTCCTGAGCACTCGTAATGTTCAACCCTTCTAAGCTGGCATGCGGAGCTCCAAGGCTACATTCAAGTCGCACCCATGCTTGAAGACGGTGTCGACGTAGCCACAGCGTTACTTCTCTTGCATTTATGCCTGGCAAGATGCCCATCCGATGTACAATCTCCATCAAGGTGGAAGCACGGTGTAATAGAAACCGCCGAGCGTACACCAGATACACATGCCGTGGATCATGTCGTACCAGACGAACCTGTAACGCCACGGGATACAATTCCACATGGACTTGTTGCCGCTGTTGACTTCCTTTAGGCTCTGATATTGAGGTGCCATCGTTACGTTTCGCGTCTTTCTCTCTTGGAGGCATCTCTTGTTGCTCGTCAGGCGAACATACCTCGATGACTTGCCGTGGAAATTCGGGACCTCCCCCGTATGCTTGCAGAAGTCGCTTCCAGACAGCACAGGACACAAGTACAAAGTCTTGTCCCTCTGCAAGACCGCGTCGTAATGTTCCTAGCTGCTCGTTTGCAGAAATATCGCTATTTGCAATCGGTCCAGGACGAGGATGGCACATCGCAAACGGAATCTGTTGCTGCTGCGAATTCCATTCCTGCATCGGTAGATCTCCACTTTCCTGCTCACACTGATTATCATTGCTTCCACGTGCCTCATTAAACAGTAAAGAATCATGACTGTGATTAGGCTGAACATATCTTCGCCACTTTGTCCACCAGCTACTTGACACCACAAACGCCGTATCACCTTCCTTCCACTGTACTTTATCCACCTCCTGCAGAATTGACTCCTCATTGAGCAAAGCTTTCACCACGTCAAAAGGTGCTAGTAGCATATGCAGCACATACGCACCCAATCTGCAGTTCATTCCCTGGCAAAAAGTCTGTTTTGTCACTTGACTTTGTCCTTCATCCAGCACCAACTTAGTCAGCGACGTCACTAGATCATACTTTTGTGCTGTCTGTTGTTTAGTATCACAACCAAGCTCCATAACCGTCACAGCAAGTAGTTTCACGTCAGCACGAGTGAGCACTGGTTCACTCCGATCTCTTCGGAACCAATGGAACACCAGCTCTGCCATCTCTTGCACCGAGGAGCATCTTGCCATCTTCACTCGAGCCAGCATCTCACACAACTCTTCAAATTCAATCTTGCGCGTGTTATTAGCATCAAAAGCCTCAAAGAGCGTGCATTGTGCCGCTCGAGACGCTCGTCTCAAAAACGGGAAAAGCCGCACAAACTGCCGTCTTGTCTTGAGTCGGAGCCTCAAATCGGCACGCCGACTAAAGTAAATCCGCTTGCTACACCCTAGAGCCGAGTTCAGTAGCGTCTGTCGTTTCTGTTGACACTCCAAGGCCCTAGAACTGGAAGCCGACGGCAGTGTCGTTAACGTAGCAGATGAGCTGGAACGTGCAGAGCTACTGGTGCCAATACGTGTTTGTTCTTTGCCGCGAACGGTGCGTTGAAAAGCTCGAAGATCAACGTGTACGTCCGAGTCAATGGTTGTCTTGTTTATCGCGAGGTTGACGAGTTCTCGTAGCGCATAGAGCTCCGATAGACTCCACCAGTTGAAAAGACGGATGCGTCGAGCTTGTGACTGCTGTGCAGCTGCTCCAGTTGCGTAAGTTGAATGAGTTGATGCACCATGATGATGACGACTAAAGAAACAACGCAACAAACTCTTTGGACCACGTGAAGAGGAAGAAGAGGACATTGGAGTCACGTCTTGAGACGATTCTCGGGTTTAATTGACCAGTTGTTCGGTCTAAAGGTATTGGACTGATGAAGTGCGAGAACGACCAGGTCGTTATATGGGAACGGGGCTTGGATCCAGGCAAAGAGATGGAACTGAACAGAATTTCACTTGTCCACGTGCGATACACACCGTGACGTTTGAACTAGGAAGGTCATTTACGTCCTAGCAAGAAGTCGGACAAGGTAATATCGATATCGACCACATGATGATCTACGTCAGCCTTGAAAGAGACTCGCGCCTAGTTACAATGAATGGCTGAGCGAATAGACACGATGTCACCTCGACATGGTACGTCCTAAGACTATCCTATAGCGACGGAAAAAGGTCGAGCGAGTGAATGAACTAGTAAGGCGATAAGTTAGAATGTAGAGTAGATAAGTTTGAGGCTGTCAAGTGACTTATGCGTCCATAAAGACCAAGTAGTGAAGTAAAGGTAGAAGACTTAGCACGTTAAAGGCGACTTGGAAATCTACTACATTAATGCAACATGTCTGCAGTACATGGCTGGATCCTAGCTATCGTCCTAGCTCTCGTCCTAGCTTTGTCCTAGCTTTCGTCCTAGCTGACGTTTTAGCTGACGTTTTAGCTACGTTTTAGCTGTCGTCCGATATGTGACATATTTTGTCGGTTTCTGATCTATAAATTTGTGATTTCATAAAAAGCACCACGTGGTACTTAAATTACAAAATAAAAACATTTGGGGCATTAACGCGTAGCAATCAAATAGCTGCATGTAAGAAAGTTGAACATAGACGTTGATACAGTATGTGTGACACCTTTTCATGCACTGACTCTACAATCGTTGGATGTGACGCGTGTTATCCTTGCATCATTTTCAAATTGCCCACCTTCCTGCAACATACCATGCGTCTCGCTCTCCTCGCGTTCCCCGCTCTCGCTACGACGAGCGCCATGAGAATGCAAACAAGTACATACTCACTATCATATGAATGCTCTATTAACATTGCGCTTACCTTGTCATTCTTTGTGGTAATTGTATCATAGTTGATGAAAACCCACCGACGACGACGTGTCCAAGTGTGAAACCATCTGAAGACGAGCAAATGTTGCTTGATGCGTGGCTTGACGCTCATCAATTGAATGAATACGGCTGTGACAAATCATCGGATACCACGACGTTAACTTCGAATCCCTGTGGTTCCTTTGAATCGGTCTTGGCATTTCATCCGGATCGTCCGTGGCTTCCATTTGATAAATCTATGATGTGTTCGAGCTACGAGCAGAAACAAATTGACGCCTGGACGAAAGAAAATGAGCTCAATCCATACGGGGATCCTCAGGGCACTGCCTATTTAGGTGGTTCAGCCTTGTTTAATGAAAACACGGGCGATTCAATCACAATCTGTGAAAAAGTCCGTCGGAACCAGCCAACTTGTCCATGGCTGTCGCAGTTCGTGACACTGGACGTGATGTCTTGCAACGGACAAACACCTGAATCTCAATTCCCTGGATGTGACCAGGCACCGGGAGCTACAACGCTCGGAGGTGTCCAAACACCTGGAACTCAAATGCCTGTAGGTGGGCAAGCACCTGGAGCAACAACGCCTGGAGGTGGGATGAATGTCTAAGAGACTTCTCCGTTTCGAGTGTGATGCGGGGGCGTGACTGTAGTCACGACAAAGCTCATCTACCGCCGTGAGCAGTAGGTGAGAGATTCATGAACAAAGCAAGAGAAGCAGCAGTACAAAACCTAAAGGGCAGAAATGAAGTGTTGCAAATATCTCTTGTTTCTTGCTACCAGCCAAGAATTCTTCAAAATGGTCGCTCTCACTGGAGTATCGAGCTATGCTTTCACTAGTCTGCCTTAGCTAATCTTTACTACCTCAATGGAGTTGTCAACCATAACATCTCAGTCGATACAATCGCTCTGATGATCGTGCTGCATGCGAGTAGGTCTGAAGTTCCATGCCAATCTGATCGCCCAAAGCATTGGTCACACACATCTTCACTGCCATTCAAATCGCAACTATTCTTCTACGATTGTCATGATTCTTGTCCGAAGTACCAGCGTCTGGACGTCTCTCTTGCTGCTTTTGACGCTCTTCCTCTATCCTCCATCCGTCGATGCTGTCGCTGCAATCAAGACCTTGTCGGAATCTAAAACTCCTGATCTCGCAGCGTCTCCAACGCCGAGAATCTCTCCCGATCCACCCCCTACATCTCTGTCTATTAACCCGTCAATCAAGAAGACAAAAGCTGCATCTTCCGCCACTTCCCTGGAACGTCCAAGCCTAGTTTCCAGTAGTACTGGATCTCAAGAGGCTGTTGAAGCAGTGGTTGTGGCTGCCGATGTCTCCATTGATCAAGTTGTGAAGCATTTGCAAATTGTTCAGCAGCTGGAGCTCTCGGTAGGCAAAAGTTTGCAAGAAATGACGACAGCCGACCAGTTTGTCATGTATAGTCAAGGCCAGCTACAAGAGAGGCAGCATCTACGTGATGGTCTTCTTGCGGCGCACAAGAATCTGAAACAATTGGCTTTAGGTCTTAATGGAACGTTACTGGAGCTTGAACATGTCGAGCGGGAGGAAGCACTGCAGTCCAAGAAGCTACAGGATGTTTTGGCGCTCCAGGAAGAAGAAGAACGAGAGGAAAAACTCGTCAAGGACGGAGCGAAAGAGATGGACTATGAGACGGGTCATCTTAAGAACACGACAGGACTTAATGCTGAACAGCTCAAGAAGCTGGAAGTGGTGGAGAAGGAAGCGGATCCGGCAGTGTTGCATTATGATATGGACTTGTTGGCGCAAATCGCACTGTTGCTGGGTGTATCAGCGATGGGAGGAATTGTTGCCACGTACTTTAACATTCCTCCACATGCTGGGTATCTACTGGGTGGAGCGCTCGTAGGACCGTCGTGTTTGGGAGTTGTAAGACTGTACAAAGAAGTCGAGACAATCTCGCTCTTTGGGTCGATCTTCTTGCTCTTTGGACACGGAGCTGCGTACACGCCGCAACAGCCTGAAGATATCTTTCGAAAGTATTTTGTGGGAGGTGTGGTGTATATCGTATCCACTGTGCTGCTAGTTGCTGGTGTGGCAGTGTATATCCAATGGACAAGTTCGTTCATGGAAGGACTGATCATTGGTCTAGGCGTCTGCTTTTCGGCCACCGCTCCTCTTTACGAACACATTCGAGAAAACAGAATTCAAGACTCGTCCTTTGGTCGGGTACGTACAGCTGATGAGGATACAATGCTGTCGTCTTTCGACTAAGAATGACCCATGTTTCTTATGGTAGACGGTGACGTCAATTATTGCGATTCAAGATGTGCTGATGAGTTTTGCTCTAGGCACGCCTGAATGGTTTTCTGTGCGTTCAGTCGGCTGGATTGGTGTGGCCATATTACGAAGCGTCGTGGCCTACTCTGTGGTCGTAAGCATGACGGTTTGTCTACACCAATACGTTGTACCAAAGCTATTGCGATTTCTTACAGCTATGGAAGAGGTTCACAACGCACCACTGGTTCTTCTTGGAGTAGTGTCTGTCTGCTTATTCATGGCACTCTTCTCAGAGATGATTGGGCTTTCGCTCGAATGTGGCGCTTTCCTGGCTGGATTGGCTTTTGTGCGTGTATCAAGCAACGCAAAGGGGGCCTTCACGTCGATTCGCGTGATCGAAAACTTGTTTGGCAGCATGTTCTTTGCTTGTGTCGGTATGATTTTGCATCCGATGTTCCTGATCCGCAACGCGGGTGAGATCCTATCGATGGTGTTGCTAATTGTGGTTGTCAAGACAGTGTCCATGGCTGGTGTCATGACTTTCTTCCGCATCAGTCCGCGAAAGGCGCTCATGGCTGCTGTCAGCCTTTGCCAAATCGGCGAACTCGCCCTCATTTTCATGATCAAGGCTCACGCATCAAAGCTCGTCTCACGACGGACCTATCTGTTGTTCTTAGCTGCTATCTCCGTCTTCCTCGCATGCTCATCCGTCTTCAATCGCAGAATCGTAATCGCTCGTCGAAAATGCGTTTACCGTTTACCTTCGACGGTTCAAGGCAAGCTGATGGAACGGCATCAAAGTTCAAGTGGCATTAACGACCTTCAGTTGCGTCTTGACAACAATCAGGATCCAGTGGATTCCGATGAACAAGACAATGCAAGCTCTCCGTCGTCGAGGATGCGGCATCAATTCTTGAGGTCTTCTAGCCGTTAAGGTTGGCTATTATCAATTCGCATACAAGGATTTACGTGGAACTGTCAGTTTGCAGTTTTGTCAAGGTGAACTGCTTCCATCAGAGTTATGACTTGTTGACTAGTAATTATAAGCTTTTCATTTGTCCTTGCAGTTAACAATCGCCGCCTCCACTTTCTTCGCCATGGTCTCCACATCGTCATCTTCAAGTTCCGGCTGACTGCTATCATGATGCCAAATCTTCGGCTCCACATCAGGTGGCGTCGTGGCAACAGAGCTATCTCTTCTGCTGTCAGACAGCTTTTGCGGTACAGGTGGCGGCGACAGCGACGGCGAGGGTGTTGAATGCGACTTCATCAAACGTGGAAGCTGACTCGGGGTACATTGCTGAAGTGGCAGTGTAGCTTGCTGAAGTAAATACATGAAACCATCCCGTATGCCTTCGTTCGGGAACTCAAGGTGAAGTTCACGGAATCGAGTACAAACGGATAGGACGCAAGCTGGGTCTACTGCACGTTTGGAGGAATTTGGTAAATTCAGAGCATGTCCTGTGAAGAACGTTGCTTCGTCACCGCGAACCATCTCACGAATATCGTGCAGTTTTATCGAGTCGTCCAATCGATCCGGTGGAGTTAGGGGCTCTTCCAATGTCGAACTTGGTGATCGCATCTGTAACACCTTAGCCTCTGGAGGAGTATTTGGCGACGACGGAGTGCTTCCGGTCTGTCGAGTGGCAAAGTTGAGCGTAAATCCGCCACTGGCAGTACGTTCAGTCTTCGCACCACGTTCTCGACGTAGCGAACGCCACCACAAACGCTTCTCGCTGATAGTGTCAGAGGCTACCAGGCGAGCCGTGAGTAGAATGAGAAGATGCACCGGAAGTACCGTCAGCACTTTGCTCCGAGTCGTTGTACTTGATATTTGGCGTACCAACACCAGTCGGAATTCGGTTGTTATGAGGTTGGCCAGCCTGCAGATCAGGTTGGCTAGTCCCCTTTGCGTCCTTCCCACCAATGCCAAATAAACTCGTGAAGCTCCGTGCATTCTGGTAGCGGAGCAAGCTCCGTTTAAGCAGCTTTGGCTGCCAGCTGAGGACTTTGCCATCGGTCGACAATCGAAGTTTAGTGCGATGAGGTAGTCCGTTGCGACCATACTTCACTGCCTCAAACCCATTCATGACAAGCTTCTTGTGAATCGTCGAAGCTGCTTGTTGTCGTCGAGTAAGATCGGCAAGTCGACGACGCTCTTCGTTTTCTCGACGGAGGCGGTCCAAAGTCACTTTGCCTTTCTGGATCCACGGATGCATTCGAAGGACTGACATCGATGGTCTTTTCTTCGGGTCTACGTGCAGCATTTTGGAAACGAGTATCTTAACATCAGCGTGAATGGCAGCCCAGTCCTTAGGCGGATAGCGCACGTTGAATCGATGCGTTCGTAACTGAGCAAGTTTCATCGGAAAGGGTGGATAGCCACAGAGGATAATGTATATCACGACACCTAGCGAGAACACGTCGACTTCAAGGCCGTACGATTTACCATCCAATATCTCTGGCGCTGCGTAACCCGGTGTTCCGCATGAATCCGAGGCCTGCTCATCCGGGTGATTCAACTGTCTTGCAAAGCCAAAGTCGCAGAGTTTCACGTCGTCGCCCGATAGTAGCACGTTTTCCGGCTTCACGTCACGATGAATGATGCTACGTGAGTGGCAGTAGTGCAGTGCCCCCACTAACGCGGCCGACACTTTTTGCGCCTCGTGTTCTGGAAACTTGCCCTGTTTGGCAATGCGGTCGAAGAGATCTCCTCCTTCAGCTAGCTCCGTGACCAAATAACACTTTGTGTCGTCTTCGATAACTTCGTACAGACGCATGATGTTGACATGGTTGACACTTGAGAGTACGCGCACCTCATGTGAAAGTGCTGAACGATCCATTTCCGAGAGACTCAACTTGTCTACGATCTTGCAAGCGTACACTCCACCTTTTTTGCGGTGAGTCACGTGCTTCACCGTCGAGTACGAGCCTTCACCCAAATGTCTCGTGATGGCATAATGCTGATGAAAGTCAAGGAAGCTCTTTTCACCCTTGCGAAACGTCACTTCTCGTAGTGATGAGGCTACTCGTGACGACAGTGCTTCAATTGTTGACGACTCTACTTTCGTTGGCATTGTAGCAGCCAATGTGGAATGGGATAATGAACCTGTGCTGCTAGTACTGCTGTCATTTCTACTACAGTGTAATGTTTGAGGTGGAGTCGAGCCGTTATCATTGCAACTGCCATTCGCAGACGCTGAGTAAGTAGAAACCTTGTCCTCAGTCTCCTTTGAAGTGTTTCCATTGTTCTTGTTCTGTTGATTGAGAAACACACCACACACGGGTGTAGGGAGTTAGGCATGCGGCTTCACAATACAAGACAAGAGCTGCTTTACTTACACTGGCAAGGTGCAAACCTACTATTTCGTTCGAGCTATTGGTGTTGCCAGCTCGGATATCATCGACCGGTTTGGATAGCACGATCTCAGCAATGGACAAGTCAACCATCTCTTTGAGTGGAACGGTAGTCTCGAGACTACTTGAAATCTGCGGTGAGATAGTCATATCCGTTGGGGTAGGACGGCGTGTCCAACCCAGGGGCACTGCTGCACAGGACAAAGGGTCAGGCTTGCCAAGACATCGTCCAAATGCCATACGAGCCTTATGGATGCTCAAAGTAGGAAGGAAACCGGACTCTGGAAAGTGCAAAGGGTGCAGTTGTTAGCTCCACGAGAAGCGTGATGGAAACGGATGCGTCTTAAAAATAGGCTCTTCTTGTCGGTAGTACCCGTTGCAATGCGATGGTACAGACCTTGTCGCCAGCGTCAAGTTATCCCGAAAAAAGAATGTAACAGGCCTTGGAACTACTCGACTGAATGCCTCTGTACATCCGTTGCGAGCTGTGATTCCTTCTGTAGTTACCGGCGTTTCATACGCCACTAGACACTGATTTCAGCACATTGTGCCGACGATAGGCTTTTGGCTTAACGGGAATCAGTTTGGTCTTCATAATTGACAATTTCAATCTACATTCATCGAGTTCTCACACACTGACGTTGCTCTCAGCCGATCGAACTAGTTACTGCAGCTATCCTCGCGATAAGATCCTTGTCAGTTTCCAGCGCACGATCCAACAAATCGGGTGGGAATCTATGCACGCTGAGGTCGTTAAAGGCCGTCTCATAACGTGCAAAATCTTGGTGGATCTTGGAGACACCGCACGACAAATGCACTTCTTCCAGGTACGGTAGTACGCTCACAAGTAAGAGCTGTTGACGCTCCTCGGCAGCAAGAACACGGTCTCCGTATGCTGAAAAACTAGGTGAAAAGCACACGATTGACAAGAGTTAGTTACGGATCAGGTACGCACTTGTCGACATACCTGTTGCCAATGATAACAAGCTTCTTCATAGCTGGACCCCAGTTGCAAGCAAGAACATTTTCGTACAGAACCTTGTCACAGTGTGGCATGAAGAACACCGTGTTGGAAACGACATGCCGTCGTGCATGCTCATTCTCCTGAATAACTTTCAGCTGAAACTGCTCTGCAATAAAAGCGTCACTCTATGAGTCACAGAGCAATAAACATCCGTCACATCCGTCACATCTCTCCTTTTATCCACGTGAATACATACAAAAGCTTCATCTTTCCCTAACCTTGTTCATGGCTGGATCATAAATTTCAACACCCTGTGGAATCCTGTCTGACATCTTGGAAATTTTAGCGTCTCCACTTGAGCAAAACTTTTCATCTAGAGCTTGTTTTAGTGCCACGAGAAACCCCAATTGATAAACAGCATTTGACGAGGCACAAAAGCTTCCAATTCCATAGCCAATTACCATCACAACGTTGTGATGCATCTCATTTTTAGCGTCCTTTTCGTGGAATTCGTCCTTCATGAGCGTCTTTTGTGCTGGAATGAAATTAAAATGACTCGCAATTGCATTGAGTGCCTCGTTCAGTAGTAAGGAATCTTGAAGAACGTGACTAATCATATGAACTCGTTGAATTATCTGCAATTGTTTCTCTGTAGAAACTTCATCCACTGGTTCCATCACTTCTTTTTGAAACTTTTGACGTCGACGACGGCTAATTTGCTGCCATTTAGCCGCCATTGGGTCTTGGTAGACGGTATTAAATTACTATAATAAAATAGTATTCGGATTGATATCGAGATGATGATAATAATACTATATGAAATAAGACTCGACATGTAGTAGTAGGACGGTACTACTCTGTTTTACGTTTCGACGATTTATACCGTTACAGACGTAATTTTTCAGATCAAACGTTAAAAAGAAGCTTAATTTTTAGCTTGAAATCCGCCATTTTGTAACAGTCCAGCCCCCACGGTTTCGGACGATTGGTTTATTATCACCTCTATCTTCTTCTTCTTCTTCTTCTTCTTCTTCTTCTTCTTCTTCTCTCTCTTTCACACACTCTTCTTCTTTCTTAATAAGAGAAGTACAATATATCATCAAGTGTGTTAAATTTCAATTTATTTGCGTCTTATACGGACATTTAAGCAATTAAAAATGCCCTTTACATCGTCTCGGTAAGAAGAACTTCTTCTTTTTCTTCCTTTTCTTTTTCTTCTTCTTCTTCTTCTTTTTTCTTCTTGAATTGATATGAATTGTCTCTTTTCTTGTGTATTTTCTTTTACTGTAGAATTCCAGGGCCCACAAGCCACAAGACAATGAAAAAATCTTGTCAGACACCACCTCCAAGTGCTTCATTAAGAGCTCATGCCTCGGGAATGACTTTACCACGAACGTCAATTCTAAAATCTCCAGCTCAATCTCAACGTCCAGTCAAGAAATTGCAGTTTCCTGGCAGACAGGAAACAAATAGTCAAGAACAGAGAGACACTCGAGCAGGTTCAAGACCAAATGCTCACGTTCAGATGCCGCTAAAAGTACCAGCACGGTCAATGCTGCAACAGAGTCCTGTTGCTGCTGTTTCGACTGCTGTTTCGAGCTTTGTACCGTCGACTGGTTCAGTTACACAGTCGGACAATATCCGCGTGCTGCTTCGGATTAGACCGTCGCCGGGAAAAGACAATAAAAAGTGTCTTGAAGTGGCTCCAGACCAACGGGGAGTGACGTTGGCACCGGGTTCGCAGCAGGAAAAGAGATTTGGCTTTGACCGCGTGTTCACAGAGAGTTGTGAGCAGGACGATATTTTCCAAGATGCAGGTCGAAGGGCAGTGGAGAATACGATTGAGGGATATAATGGCAGTATCTTTGCATATGGACAGACGGGGTCGGGAAAAACCTTTACGATGTTGGGAGGAGCTACTACAAATGTTCACGAATTAAGACAAATGCCGTTGCGTGGACTTACGCCGCGTATTATTGACTATCTGTTCCAGCGACTTGCAGAGCTTGCACGAGAACGAAACCTTGCATTTTATAATGGAGAAGAACAAGAGCGTGCTCTGCAATACACGTTGGCGTGCTCGTACTTGGAGATTTACAACGAAAAGATTTTTGATTTGCTGGAACCTAGTGGCTCAGTCGCAGCACAGCAGCCCAAGAGTCTTCGTGAAGACCACAACAAGGCGGTGTATGTGGATCAGCTGCGTGAGATCGACGTGGGTAGTGAAGAGGAAGCGCTGACGCTATTGCAGCTAGGCTCACAGAATCGTCATGTCTCGTCAACCGAAATGAATCGCGAAAGCTCGCGGTCTCACGCAGTTTTTTCGGTCAAGTTGGTACTGGAGGAGCGCACGTCGTCTGGCGTAAAACGTACGCGCCGTTCGTGCTTACACTTGGTGGATTTGGCAGGTAGTGAAAAGCAGCGACAAACTCGTGTCCATGGCAAGCGATTAAAGGAGGCTGCACAAATCAACAAGTCGTTGTCGGCTCTAGGCAACGTAATCATGGCACTAGTGGAAGTAAGCAATGGCCAGAAGAGGCACGTGCATTATCGGGACTCGAAGCTTACCTTTCTTCTGCGGGACGCCTTGGGTGGCAATGCAATCACAAGTATCGTGGCTACTATTTCGCCCGAAGAGAAATACTTTACAGAAACGCTGAGTACACTGAAGTTTGCTCAGCGTGCAAAGTTTATCAAGAATAATGCTGTGCAGAACGAGGATGCTGACTCGCTGGTACCCGTTCTCAAACAACAAATTGAAAAGCTGGTTCAAGAAATTGCATCTTTGCGCAGTAGTGTCGGTATTGGCTTGACCTCTAGCGCAAGTACTACCGATTCAGACCTTTCTAAGGACGAGCACATGATGCGATTAAAGTTAATCGCTGACGCTGAAGCAGAAGCTCGAGCTCAGGAAAAAAAGAAAATTCACAACCGATGGGAGCCAGCTATGGACATGATGCAAAAACTGCTGCGTGCAAGTGGAGCATTGTCGCCTGCAGACAATGCTGAGGAAAAGGAGCCTCGGCAGCAAGAGCGTGATGTTGTGGAGATCCGTTGCGATCGACTTGAGATGCTGCTTTATCGCATGATTTGCCGTTTTGAGGAATACAAAGAGGTCACCTTTGACCCTGACCGGTATAAGTATAGTCGACGCTCAACGCACCTAAAGCCAAGCAAGATTCAAGGTTCACGAAAATCAATGCTTACCGCGCCCAAGCAATACACTAGTGCTGCTGTGCGCTACCATCATGTCGACAACCAGGAGCACTCCGCGGATGATGATGGGCCTACTGCTGCTCTGATAGCGGCTGAGAAGCGGGAACGTGAGTTGCACAAGAAGGTGCACGATCAAGACGGCCGTATCGAGGAACTGTTACGGCGGTCCCAAGAAGCCGAGACGGAGAATGCTCTTATCCGTCACGAACTTTGCGAGCTGCTAGAGTGGAAAGCCTTTGTCGAAGAAGAACGACGTCGTGTCAGTGATGCTGTGCCAATGGACCCTCAGCTGGAGAGTGAAGATGATGAACAGGAGACACCAATACTTGAAGTATCGACAGTGCCAAGTGAAGAGATGCAGGATATGCAGGAAATGCTGAATGTGTATCGGTCACTTTTCGATGACGTCACAGATCTGATGTACACGAGGAAGCCTATACTATGCAGTCCGCCCAGCCCGAAATCTGGTTCTTCTGTGATAACGGACTCTAATTCTACCTGCTACGCTTCAGGTGATGAGGATGATATTGGCGATGATTGCATCTCGGTGGATGGTTTTGAGGCGAGCGAAGATGGTGATGGAGGTGCTAGTGACGCTTACCGTGAAATCCGCCGCGTGAATGCTCTGAGCTCACGTCTTGGGCGGAAGTTTGACCTCTATCAGGACACAATTCAGCGCTTAGAGAAGGAGTTGCAAACGACGAAGGACGAGCTGGAAACCTCGAGTGCTGCCACAAAATTCGCTGAGTTCCAGCTCCAGCAGTTGCGTACGTTGGCAGCCGATGAAGAAGCTAAGCAGAGCCAGGCAGAGCATGACTTACGAAAGAAACTGAACGACTTAGAGAAAATAGTGCGTTCTCAACGTGATGAGATAGCCCGGGTGCTAAACGAAAAGCTAGCTGAAGATGCGCGTGCTTTGGAGTATGAACAGGAAGTTGCACGACGTGAGGTGGAACATCTGGAGCATTGTCTTTGCAACAGCAGCGACTCAGGGGATAATGGCAACGATAGGGAGCGGATGGAGAGTGTATTACTGGCCACCCAAAAACGTATTGAAGATTTAGAGCAAGAGATGAAAACGACGCGATCTACTCTGGCGACACTAGAGATGCCAAAAGCAAGCGATGACGAGAAACCAGTTCGATTACAGACATTACTGGAGTGTGCTTTGGAAGACAATGCAAAGCTTTTGGAGACGGTGCGTGACCTTTACCATAAGCGGCAACGTAGTGGTAACAACCTTCAGTTACTCTCTTCGTTATTTGCGACGGCCGCGGACGCTAACTTGGACTCTGGAACTTTAAGTGAAGAAAACAAGAGCAACGAGTTGACCCGATTAAGGCGTGAAATAGCTGCTCTCCGAACTAGAGTTGGCGACTTGACCGACTGCAGTGCCCTCCAAGATCTCGCTAACGTAAGTAATGTGGCGTAAAGCAGGCTCTGCATTGGCTCAGTGCGGTAGCAAGTATCTTCTGCTGGCGTATTGAGCTCGTGCTGGGCTGCGCTGGTTTGGCTCTGTAATCTGCTAGCTGGTCATGGAGTGCTGACGACTCCTCTGGTATGTCTTCTTCTTTCTGCATCTGGACGACGATATCCTGTGGTTCCCCTTTGCGTTCGCCCCTCCATGTTCATAGCGCAATGAAGACACTATCCAGCAATTGCAATTGGAACGGGCTACCTTGCAAGCGAGGCTGCATCGAGCACAACAGATGAGCGCACGACTGGAGGCGGAAGTACGACACGTTCGTCAAAATGCAGTTGTTGACAGCAGCAATGGTGTTTTTTTGATGGAATTTCTCGGTGGCATGTAGATGTCATGGTGCTCGACATGTATTATAATAGTAAGAAGCGTGTTTGCAGATAAAGATTGTGTGGAAGTAGATGTGCCGTGCAGAAGGAAGCTCCGATCAACAAGATGGTTCCTATGGAATGACGGACGACCAGCTTGCTTAACTGCTTCGAAGTGTAGGTGTAATGGTCTCTTTCGTCACCTCTGATGCTGGTGTATCGCTGCCTCCATCCTTAGTCGGACAAACAACCATCTATTCAAAAGACAAAGAACAAGCTGCGAGCTTTACCATTAGCTACTCCTGTTTATCTTCTTCGTCAAGTTGATTCGTCGAGACCTCGCCACTCGGGTTGGCGTAGCTCAGCTGCGCATACAATTCTTCTTCAGAGGCAGTAGCAATACTAGCAGCAGCAGTTGAATTCTCATCAGTAGTAAACTGCGTATCCGTGTCAGGATACGACGCAACCGTGACACCCTCGATACGCTGACGCTTGCTTGCTGGCATATGGTACTGCTCTGGGTAGTCAAAAGCCGCATCTTCCGTCGTAGTTGCGCCCTTAGCCTGCATCATAGCAATAATAGCATCTTTATCCGCACGCTCTCCTGCCTGTTTTGCTACGGGGTTGGGATCATCAAAAGCCCAGCGCAAGTTTAACACTTCATCACTTTGTAGCGACTGGTTCGCCATCGCTTCCTTTGCAAATTCCGCACTCGTTCGATGACGGTAACGCACAAAGCAGATAGATTTGCGATGGATCACATTAATGTTCTCCACTTCACCCCACTCGCCAAACTGCTTCGCAAGCGCCTTTTCCTGTAGCTGTAGTGCTTCCCGTCCACTCGTGGTCTTCAGTCCACCCACATAAAGAGTACGGGAGTTGCGCGTAAAGTTTCCCACTCCATCCATATCATCTCGATCCGTTGCATGACGTTCCCGTCCAAAGCAGTCGTGCATCATGCCGATCCTTGTCTCATCGGCTGCAGCTGGTAGTCGATGATAATAGTTGCATTCTGCTCCTCGGGCACACATCCCACGTGCGAAATGCACGCAGAAATATCGATTGGCTTTACTCACCATATCAGCCTTAGTCTTGCCTGCATCCAGCTCTAAAACACAGCGCGTGGCGGCCGGTTCCTTGCCCCTCGAGTCGTTCCAGTGGTCCCCCACGTACTTGTCGTACCAGATATTGTACTCATATGCGCCTTCCAGCTGTGAATTAGCTGTCGGCATCACATCCAGTTGTTTCCGTGCAGGTCTTGACAGGAACAAGGCGTTTAATTTCTCGTACCGGTCGCCCTCGTTCACACCAGCTTTACCACGACCAAACCAGCCTGTGGCATGTGGTGCTGCACCCATTTCAACCGGACGTTCCCATTGTGTCTGATTCGTCTCCATATTGTAGTAATAAATCTTATTCGATACCGAGTCCAGCGCTTCACGCCACGAATGCTGATCACCCTGACTGTCTACCACGAAAGCGTCCGGTCGCTCTACTTTGGGTGCACGACAACGGAAACAACGCTTACGACGTGCATAATTTTCATGGCTACAGTCAGTACAGATCCAGTTCTTTTCGTAGACAGCGTAAGCGGCGCCTACATCACCTAGTGTCCCGACAGCGGTGAACTGTTGTGGCAGCTCGCCATCCCGAGTTACGTAGCTGCTCATGACTACGATATTGTTTGTGTGGCGTACACAATTGGTATTTTTGGTCGTGGACTATTTTTTTTAAATACCTGTTTAAAATGATAGGTACATGTACAAATCTACTCATTTTAGTGATACCCTTTATTTAAGCCAGTTATCAGTTAGAAAAGCATAACCCATGTTTACGTACTACTAAGTGTATCCAAAGTGAGTCAGATCGACGCTGTCGTTCTGCATCGATATGCTCTACTCTTTTGTGCAAACTGATATGTGCGGCGTCAAAAAACATTGGGTTCTTCAGAAAATGTCAACCAGATGACATAAGCTTCAAACGTTACACATGCCGACACCAAATAAATGCCAAAAGTGACACTTTCTTGTCATTCGATGTACAGTCATCCCGTGCAGGAGGTGAAAACTCTCTTGTCTACCTCAAAGGTACTTGGCTTGTTGTCGCCTGAAATGACCGTGTGTCTTAGTAGCACGCTCCACGAGCAAATTGAAAATGTATGGCCACCAAAAGTTCGTCGTGCGGTCGTAAACCGAGTACACGAAGCAGTAAACGACCCAGAGGAAGTATACTAAGTAAGCAACCAATCAAGCCAGCACGCGTCGCAGTGGTCAGCAAGTCTACGAAACAATCACAATCACTACAGGATAGACGTACATGGGAAGAAGAGCATCATGACGACAGGCAGCGCGATGCACAACAGTATGATACCCAGCCATAGTTGAAATACGGCTCCAACCGACCTCTGGTAATCCAAAAAGAGATCACACACAACACGACTCATTAACACCAATGCAGCAAACATAAAACCTACAGCAAAAAGAACCATACCGGCAACTCTATCTCCACTGTCTTCTCTTCGCCAGGGAACCGCTGGTGTTCAATAAAGTAAGTCAGTCGTTCTTCCTTTTCCTTCCAGCGCGCATCTAAGAATCCCTGCAAATCTGTCGTCGCATCTTCATAACTAAATCTTCGCGAGTGCATGGCCACACTTCCTACAGGTTGTTTCCCTGCCACCAACGACTTCATGGACGGTAACTCCGTATCAATTTTACGTCCATAGCCCATGTCAAACGTTGGCACTTCCCCTGAATACGACGGAAAAGCCAGCGTAAGGTCGTAAATATCCGGCTTCACCTCAGCCACAGCATCCAAGATGATCCGCATGCCCGTCGTACGTGGCAGCAAGACCCTCTCAAACTTAGGACGACCTTCTCTGGCCGCAAAAGTCTGTGACTTTGTCACGTATTCACTGTGAATCGTCGTCCCCTCAGGAAACAACACGAGCCAAAAGGGAAAACCGTCGGTTATGAGCCCATTCATGTACCTCTTGATATGTTCCTGATCCTGGTCGACGCGACGTCGTAAAAAGAGAAACTCAAAAAGACGCATGCCCCAGCCAATGATGGGCAAGTACTTAAGCTGATCCTTTAGCACGATCTTAATGTTACCCGCTGCCTTTTGCTGGCGTGCAGCCTGCCAAATGTACCACCAATCGGCGTCGACTTGATGGTTGGCGAGAAGGATAATGGGCTTCGTAGGATCCGACGGTAGCTCGCCTGTAATTGAGAGCTTGGTCTGTGGGAAACTTGCGGACGCTACATCAATCCAGAGTGATTGTGCCATCGAACTGCAAGTTCAGAGTGATGGTATATGTTAGACAGAGTGATGGTCAATTCCGCACTGACGAGAAAAAAGTACGTACCCCATGAGTTGACGATAGAGCACCTTATTAAACGGACGTACGAGGCAATAGAGACAAAATTGAAGGAAATTAATGCACACACCATTGCATAAAATCCACAGCAGGTTGAGCACCGAGTACAAGTGGATCACCGCCATTTTGGGGAGAGGAAAAGTTTGGAATGCGGAATAGAGTGACTTGCGACATAAAGAAAAGACAGTGATTGGCTGAAATGATTTTTAGGCTTAATGTATTAAAATCTGAGCCTGATAATATCAGGATCTGATTTTACTAGATATGTACCCATACTAGATATATGGGTACATATCTAGGGAGTCGAGTAGAAGGCATTGTCTATGCGTAATGCATTTGTACTAGCTGTCTTCGTTCCGTTCATTGGAATGAGCATCTAAGATAAGATCTGCCACTAACGCTTTCAACGATACAGAATCGATTGTTTTCGAAGTCTTCCTCTACCAATCTAGCTAAACAAAGAATTTGCATGAGCACTGATAGGACTGATGTATTGCTACGAGGTTACTTGTTTGTTTCGAATACCCATTGACGCTCGCATCTAGCGAGAAACAAGGTATTGTTGGTTCCTACAAAGCTTTTTCGGATAGAAACTTGCTGGTGGTGCCGTACACTGACACGAATCGCCAGCAAACATTAGGTGACTCGCTGAATGTGGCATATCGACGCTGTGTATCTCGCTAGGAAAGCAGTTTGTATCGATAGAGGTATTCCTGGAATAACAAGCTTATAACATAAGACTTAACTACAACAAAGTAAGATGGAAACAATGAGAGCAGTTGCTCGCTTTCTTGACACGTTTGATGTTCGTCTAGCTATGTTAGTTAAAGATAGAATAGCTTGGATGTTGAAACGCTCAAGCAGCAGCAATATCCATCAAGCCCACATCAGAGAAATACAATACTAAGGTTACGATCATAAGCGATTATGTTGCATTGTTACCTGTAAAAACTTGCTGGAACTTGACAATTGATCTCATTCTGTCATTGCAGAACAGCTCCGATGACTTGTATCTTCTTGTACAGTGGGACTCATATGCACGTGAGCATGACCATGCCTCACACATGTTCTAAAATTGGCGTGTCTGTCTTAAACAATAGCTCCGAGGTAATATCGAAGCCGACGGCTGTACAATGCTAGAAATACACTTCTCATCATCTCGATCAATTCAAAGCCTAGACGTGAAGATCTGCTGCTTGTCCGGTAGGAACTAGCATTGCTTCATTGTGCAAGCGGACTGTTTCACTGACATTGCAACGGCGTGCGTCCTTGCCTTGTTGACTCTAACTAATTCTTTGACAAATGGAGATAAGATTCTGTTTGTCAACCGTGAATGCCACATCGGTGACGTAGCTATACTACTTTCCTTCCTTAGTTTCGTAGAGATAGCAATAAAGATGGTGCTGAGACGACCGCATAGCATGAACAGGGTTTTTGCTGTCTCTAAAGCCGATAGTGGGATGCCGCCGTGTCTGTTTGCTACTTTGTATTGCAACGGATCGGAGACTGGACGTGAGGTTTTGTGTGGCCTATATCAGCAGCTTACAATTAATTTGAGACGGTGCAATTTAAAAAAAAGTCTTTTTCTTAGCTAAAAGCAAGAAACATCGGTATTTTTTTAATATGAGACCGTCGATACCGGTACTTAGGCCACATAGGGTTCAGCAGCACCCACCCTCCAAGAAGGAATAATCGAACGCCGGTTCTAATTTACTATCGAACTACAGTCGAAACCACTTTCGCACTAAGAAATTCCGAGCCTCCCATTAACTTCACGACCGTCAAGGAACTCACTTGGTGCGTCTTGTCTCTTTTCCCTTCCCCTTGGTGCAATTACGTCCCCCCCCCTCGTCTCTGTGTAAGCCGTTAAATAGCGACATTCATTGTGTGGAGTAAAATCTGCTGCATCTGATACGTTTTCGAGCTTTGTCGCTCCTCTCTCCTTCTCCTTACACCACTTTCGTTTAAACTATTGCCCGTTGTCTCGTTCGTTCGTTCGCTAGAAGCGATCGATCGACTGACTGACGACTCGAAAGCAACGGCGAGAGCGCAAGACTCCAAGGCCGGGACCCAACGTCCTCCTCGTGCACGTGCATTGGACCGGGTCCGATCGTGGGCGAGTATACTTTTAGGTCCTTCTAAAAGCAGGAGAAACCGAGCAGCTACTGATCCTGTACGACTACCACCGTTACGAGAGCGACCGAACGAGCCATTGATACAGTCGTCTAGTGGCTTGGGAGAGAGGTCTAACAGTGAGTCGGAACTCAAGCTTGGGAGTGAGAAAACCAATCAACACCATACTAGTGAAGAGACCAGTTATCCAGTGTGTGAAGAGATTAGCAATCCAGTGTGTGAAGAGACTAGTGAAGGGGAAGCCATGGAAGAAGTCTCTGCTGAACTCCAGCAACAGCTACAGGCACTGGGTATTAGCCCATCAGACGATGTCTTTCGTACAGGTTCTGAACAATACGACCACAATGGACTAAGCTCTCCTATTCCACAGGAAGTGCGCTTTATGAATGCGGAGCTCCGACGCTGCCCTGTGGAAGGTGTTGGCATGGTGCTTGCTATATTTTCTGGGTCGGGAACAGTGTATGAATTCGTACGAACGCTACGGAAATGCATTTACGGAAAAGTGAAGCATGCTGTTCGTCTTCAGTTGACGCCTAATGGTACTTTTGTGCGCACGCAGCTTGAGGTGGCTATCAAGGTTATGAGCAAGGTGCGTGTGCTGTGGGTGTACTGCATTTGTACGAGATGTGTAGGAGTAGTGTTGTTTTGACGATTCTTGGACTCTTGTGATGGGTTTCGTACTACAGGTTATTATAGAGGAGGGAAATCTCCAAGAGAACCCGCTTGTCGAGCTTGCAGCACAGCAATATCTGTCAGTACCAGGCCACGAAAACGTGCTCACACTGGTAAGGCATCACTACTGCAATACTGTATATATGTTGCTAGTGGAAAACTCTTTCTGATGTATGGTTCTGTGTTGATACTATGATGCACAGCTTGAGTGCTTGCACGACGCGGATTTCATCTATGCTGTGCTTCCGTTTTGTAATGGTGGTGAATTGTTCTCGGTGGTGGAAAGTGGTGGCGCCATGAACGAAGCTGAGTGTCGCCATTGGTTTACCCAAATTTTGGCAGGCCTTTCTTACCTGCAAAGTCGCTACATTTGCCACCGTGATATGTCCTTGGAAAATGTGCTGCTAGACGGCGATACCTCAAAGGTAAGCAAGCGTCACACATGCTTGTGAAATAGAATGAGGGCACAGGCTAACTTATGCGGATTGCTCATACTGTAGATCATCGACTTCGGTCTAACCATCGGCATTCCCGTCGATTCACATGGCATGACATATTCACTCCCACCTGCTGGTGCAGTTGGCAAAATCTTTTACATGCCGCCCGAGGTATGTGGCGTCGTTACGTGCTCATTAGCCAAGGTTTTTACCGTTTACGTTTTGTTTATTGATTTCAGATTTACCGTAACCAGGTCCCTTTCAACGGGTTCTCGGCGGATATTTGGTCAACGGGCGTCATGCTTTTTATCATGATAACGGGCGCCCCACCATTTGAGCGACCAGATGATGCAGACCCACGATTCCAGATGATTGCACAGGGCCTCATGGGCGACATGTTAGACTCGTGGGGCCTCGACCGCATTTCCGCGAGCGCTCGTGATCTGATGTCGAAAATGCTTATCGTGGACGACCCGTCGCGACGTCTAACGGTCCAGCAAATCGCTATGCACCCGTGGGTTCAGGGCACTGGGGACTTGTAGCAATGCAAGAATGAACTGTTGTTTTGAAAGTGGAAACGTTTTTTGCTGCTTGTGGTATGTCAACAGTGCTGAGCTCGTATTGTAGTATTCTCCGTAGACAATGGTAGATTGCGGTACCTGTTGAAGTTTTCATGTCCTTGCTGTAAGATCTGCAAACTCTTTCAGCCCCAATCGGACCGACAATAGTAGAAGGCACCGGGTGGAGCAGGGAGCATCGACGGCGGTAGGTTTTGTGTCGGTCCTTGATCGCGTTTAGCAGAGGATAGATTCACTGGCGCCCATGCAGGAGAACCTTGGTCAATTGTACGCAACGTCTGGTCAAAGTTTACTGACGTAGCAGCAGATGCATGTCGTTCATGATCTAAATTGATAGTGAAGGAATAAATGGATGAGAAGAATCGCCCGGTAGTAATCATTTGAGTGCATCTGCATACCTGTGAAGCTGTCGTACCAGAGCTTAACGTTCGTCTTGTGGTTGCGCCCACGATTGTGTCGCTGTCGCGCCTCATGCGAGTCCTCGAACGACTTGTTACAGTAGTCACACACAACGCGTGACTTCCCCATCGGTGCAAAGAATGATGAATGCACGCCTTTCTGACTACGATGATCAGATCAGACTTCGCGACGACTTTGACATGAAAACCGTTGCTGTATTTCAAGCACGGCTTTATTTACCTGGCACAGAATCTATACCACGTTTTCAAACGCTACGTGTAAGTACCCGACAGTGTAATACTCGGGAAAAAATACGATGGTTCGCTAGTCTACACACACCAAATCCAGTGCCACAGTAAGCTCAAAAAACCATTAGACACCCCCACTCGCCAACATCCTTTTCAATCTCCACATGTCCGAACCTGTTCATCCAGCCACGTCATGCCTTCACGAAGCAGTACATTCAGTGCCAACATACTCCGTTTCTTGTCCCAGTGCAACTCTCGTGCTAAAATGCTGACATTCACCATTCCTCCCGTCGTCTGTGCCAACGCCAAGATAGTCGAGTGATCTTGACTTAACACCACAGGCACCGTCACAATCTACAAAAAAAGAAACACCTCCTTAGTCACTCTCAAAGTAATGTAAACAATCTCTCATCCTACAACCCCAGCTCCAAGCTTCAGCTCCAAGCTTCAGCAACAAACAACCGTAACTGACCATTGTTTTCTCCTCCATGTCAAGAAGCTGGAACCCTTCTCCCAGTACACTGAGTTTCTTGACTGCTCTCTTGACATCATCATCCGTAACAATCTGCATAGCTTCTCCTCTTTTCTTTTCTAATAATCGCAGCAAGTCACTCATCCCAAGAAGTCCGCCATTCTTTGGTCTGGTGAGAATTCCCACCTCAATAATCTGTACCGCGAGCTCATAATAAAAATCACCCACGTCTAATAATTCCGACCAAAATCCTTTCTTGGAAGCCAATGGATCAACGCCAATCTTTGCGCACATGACTTGAAATTTACGTCGAAAATCCGGATCTTTCTTGATATTATTCTTATACTTGATAGCAAACGCCTGGAGATTCGTACGGAATAACTCCAATTGGGACGAGACGTGTGTAAAATTAGCTTCGACAAGCTGTTCGCCTACATCGGAGAACTGCTTCGTCTGCTCCTGTTTCTTGCGCACGGCGCCGATACCGACACCACGTCGTCGCATTCTTGGCTTCAAAGGGATATACTCAGATCTGAGAATTGATTGTGATTGGTAGATATACGTTCTGTTGAGATTTTATTTTTAACGAATAGAAATGTATTGCGTGGCCTGGATAGTCCTTCTTTCTACCAATGATTACGGCGCGGCCCCCTATTCTTTTTTCTTTCGATTCATTTTGCGGTTTCCAGTCGTTCCAGGAAGAAGCTCTTAGATAAAAAGAGAGATAAAAGTGTTTTTGGAGGTGAAACGATGTTTGTTTTTGACTGGTTCTACAATGTATTAGGCTACTTGGGTACGTGTACTTTCTATCTCTACCTACAAAAGAGATTGGGTATCTTTTTACGGCGAGAAGGAAAACATTCGGATCTGTATCCAAATATCCGGATAAAAACAAAAAAACCAGATGGATTTTTTTTTACTAGTTGAAACAATAAAATTAATTGTATTTTATATTGCAATTATTATATGAAATAGGACTTTATCACAAGAATGCCAAGATCTTGTTTCTTGGGCTTGACAATGCTGGCAAGACGACGCTTCTGCATATGCTCAAGGATGATCGTGTTGCCGTGCATGAACCCACACTTCATCCTAGTATGTCTGCAAGTATTAGCCATTATAATTTATAATCATGGAATTTCTAACAATTATGGATATTTCATTGAATGTAGACTCAGAGGAGCTGATCATTGGCAAACTACGTCTACGTACATTCGACTTGGGTGGCCATGAAACAGCACGTCGTCTATGGCGAGACTATTTTGCCACAGTCGATGGTGTCGTGTTTGTAGTGGATGCACTGGATCGTGAACGTTTCCCGGAGTCGAAACGTGAGCTGGATACGCTTCTAGGCTATGATGAGCTCGCGAATGTGCCGTTCCTGGTACTGGGCAACAAGATTGACGTGCCACGTGCTGCGTCCGAAGACGAGCTACGTAGTGCATTGGGATTGTACGAGACGTACGGCAAGGAAGCTCGTGGTGACAAGGATACGAGTATTCGTCCCATTGAGCTGTACATGTGTTCTGTCGTGCGTCGGATGGGTTACGCTGATGGTTTCCGCTGGATGGCGCAATTCTTGTAGATATCACCGATCTTTGTCTAAGAGCGAGACGGTGTATTAGCAGAAAAGAGAAGAAGGAAGAACAGGTCAGGGAACGAACGAACGATGCTTTTTCATGTCGCTAACTTGAGGTTTCTCGTTGATGAGAGAGTACTAATGTCATCGTAAAGAATACGTCTTTTTGAATAAAGCCATCTTCTGATTTGATTGATGGCATGAAGTAGTAATCCAGTACTATCATCTGTATTAGTCTAAAGTACTATTTCCTTGTGTACTATGACTCTGCTACTATCACGTATTTAGACTAAAATTCACTACTATTTTCGAATTTTGCACTACAAAGTGGCTAATCACTTCATGGCGCCACAGTCGATTTCCGTACGTCTATTTATTCTTCTCCTATCATTTATTTCTACTATTTTCTACCTGTATCGTAATCATTTCTATTGTAGGAGTACACGCTGCTTGAATTTTTAGGTGAAGGTGCCACTGCTCAAGTTTATTTAGCAAAACACGAGGTTTCCGAGGCTCATGTAGCCATTAAAGTGATTGACAAGTTGTTAATTCAACGCTCACAGTTAGAGAGCAAAATTCAACAAGAAATGGTGCTTCATGCTGAATTAAATCATCCCAATGTTCTCCACGTTGAGAATGTTTTCGAAGATGCTCGAAATTATTATATGATTTTGGAATATTGTGCTCGTCGGTCGCTTTCGGCCATTGTCAAGACATTTCCAGCACGTCAAATGGAAGAAAAAATGGCGAAAAAAATATTTCGTCAAGTGGTGACGGGTGTCGTGTATTTACATGCCAATGACGTGATCCATCGAGATCTAAAACTTGCCAATTTGTTGATAACTAAGGACGGGGAGGTCAAAATCTCGGATTTTGGACTTGCAGCGAGACTTGGGTGAGGACGGAGATTTTTTTTCTCTCTTTTTTGTGAAGTGCTGGGAGAGAATAGTGGATTGGTTTTTCTTTGCTGAGTTTTTGGTGTGAATTGTAGGGAGGATCATGTGACAATGTGTGGTACGCCTAATTTCATTGCACCAGAAGTGTTGACGGCAGAGAACGAGCCATACAATGAGACGGTGGATATTTGGTCTCTAGGGTGTATTTTGTACTGTTTGCTGCTCGGCAAAGCGCCGTTTGAAGGCCGTAAAGTCAGGTGAGATGGATGAGTGTACATTGACAAAGGTGCAAGGAGTCTAATGGGTCTTGTTGTGTTACATAGTGAAACGTTGGAGAATGTGGCGAATGCAGGACAGACCCCGCTAAAGTTTCCTGACGGCTTCTCGTCATCTGCCGGCGACTTGATCAAACGGCTGCTTAGTTCAGTATGTTCTCTGCGTCAAATAGCGTGATGGACTCTTGCTCACGCTTGTGTTTTTCTGTGTCGTTGAAGAATCCACGTAGTCGTCCATCGGCCAAGCAAATCCTGCTACACCCTTGGCTCCGTGAGCTGTCTCACAAGCGTGCAACGCCACCATCTTGCGGTACACGCAAATCTCTAGTGCGGATACCTCCACACCCTCGAGCTTCATCTCGATCTCCTAAAAGCTTGCGCGATAATCGCAGAGCAACGATATCTCGGTCGATGAGAGAGGAGGAGCAATTTCTATCATCGTCTACCTCATCTGCTCCACTCAAAGTCGAAAGGCGGCGCACGCTCAGAGACAGTCATGCCGGCTCGATGCAGCGCGGCCTGCTCGACGCTCCTGCGAATGAGATGAGGGGGGTTTCTCAATTTCAGCCGATGATGTCTGCTCTCGGGAACACTAGCAGCGACAGCAATTGTAGCCCCGATGATGATAGTATGAACCTCGATGAAGACTCCATCGATCTCTCCGAGCAATCGTTGCCAACGCGAAATGGCCATGACAGGCGGAAGGATGAACACACGTCACCTGACCGAGTTGATCAGTCACTTCTTGCAGTATCCAGGATCTCTGGACCAGCCATATCAGTTATCATGCATTTGGAATTGCAAAACCTGACATGGTTCGAGATTTCTCAAGCCAGCGTTGGCAATGTGAGCGATGCGAAGGTGCAATTGCAGTGGAGTTGCAAGGAACCAGCTGAAGTCGGCAGTCCACCGACATTCGAACTAAAAGTATCAAACGGGTGGAAAGGAAGCTACGATTTAGCTACTGGGGTGTTTACAGCCATGACAAACGACGGTGATCCATTGCGTTACGAGATTCCTGGAGTGAGAAAAGCACGAACTGGTGTCAATATGACTTTGAGTTCATCCCGGAGATCACCTTCTCAGCGCCCGTTCTTGCCACCATTGGTTCGGTTTTGCCAATGTCTTGCATTACGCAGCATGCAGTTGCGCCAAATTGCACTACGAGGTGAATTCAGCAAGCTTCCATTCGTCCATTATGATACACTTCCAGAGTCATTGTTGGCATCCTTCCACTATCGAACCACTTTTTTTACTCAAGGTGCTAGACGTGGGACACAAGGAGATTCGTATGAAGCACAGAGAGAAGTCGACATTGCTGGAATTGGACGTGGACAAATTGATGCAAGTGGAGACTTGAAAGTTGTGTATTTGGATGGAGCTCAGCTTATTTTGGCAGCAAGTGGGTTGCAATTACGTTTCCGGCCATCTTGGACAAGTGATATTTATGGCACGGACAGTGTCCAGACTGAAGATGTCTTTGAATTACTCACAACTGGCACAATGTCATCATTTCTACCCTCAGCAGTGAAACAAAAGTTGGCGAGTATTCCCGAGTTTATTCGACGGCTCCAAGCAGCAACCTAGTTGGTGTGCATGCGTCCTATTTCGTACACAGTTACGATATTATCTTTACTAGTAGCCTAAATATCAAGATATTCTCCTTTGCTAGTAGCCTAAATATCAAGATATTATCCTTTGCTCGTAGCCTAAATATCGAAATATTATCTCAACTGATATAAAATATCCGCCACGTCGGCCAAGCACAGAACCAAGCGGATAGTTTTACATGGTGCATATTATCAATGGAGAGATCGTACCCGACGATGATCCGCGAGTACGTGCACGACAGCAACAGCCACAACAAACTCAAAGACGTTTTGGATCAGTAGAAGGAGTTTCTTCATCATCATCATCTACAACTCAAGTGGTTCGTCCAGGTGCTGGGACGTCGGCATTTCAAAATTTGATACGTCAAGTGGGACTCGAAGGCTCCGTAATTATTCCAGCAATATTGGGATTTCCTGCAAGACCGGTTCAAAAGATCCACTTATTAATGGCCGTCATCCTCACGGTTTTCTTTGGTTGGCGAGCTTTGGCATTTCTAGCTTTTGCCTTTTTTCTTCTAACACAAGAGCCCCCTCCAAGACAAAGTTAGGAAGGAAGGAAGGAAGGACAGTTTCTAGGACAGTTTCTAGGACTGCATAGTCAAATGATATGATAATAAAATGTGTTTGGTTTGATCTATCTACAAGGTGGTGCTAGGAACGGGTGTTTGGCTACTTGTTCAAGTGTCGGTCGTTGATGTGGATTGATGGTTAATAGCTTTTCCATGAGGTCATAGGCTTGATCCGAGAGCTTCCGAGGAAACCTTTGACACAGGTTGCGAATGCCACCACCACCTTCACTTAACACACGAAAGTGACGGTCTTCCGAGCTTGGTTTTTCGACAAGAGGAGCTCCGGATAACATGATTGCAAGCAAGACACCAAGAGACCAAATGTCTGCTGTCAATGGGTTGTAAGATTCTTTTGCTCGGAAGACTTCAGGAGCCATGTACCAGACTTTTCCAACTCGTCCAGGAGCTAGAAGTTTGCCATGCTGAGTAGCCAGACCAAAGTCGCAGACGTAACAAACACCTTTAGCATCTAGTAGCACATTTTCCAATGAAATGTCACGATGAGCCAAACCATTCTCCTTCATACAAAGCAAGCCACATACGACATCGCGAAGGAACCGACGAGCGGTTGCTTCGGGTAGTTGACCTTTTGTTGGACTCTGACGCACAACGTCAAACAAGTCGCCACCGGAGCAGAAAGGGAAAACCAGGTACAAATTGCCACCACATTGAATCTCTTCCTCCAATAGCAACAGGTTCGTCGTTCGTGCAGCTACGAGTTTACGGTGAATGGCGCGTTCCTGTTGCAAGCTTTCAACCACTTGGATCTCGGTACCGATCGTCACTTGAGCGCGAGCACAGCGGAGGTCCACGCGCTTGACGGCGACTTGTCGACACGTCTTGGAGTCGAGACATAGAAGCACTTCTCCAAAAAGTGCCGGCGCCAAAGTCTCCATGGTCTTCAAGTCCGTCAACCGTTGTGGTGGTGATCGGATGATTTTAGTAGAGACTTGCATTAAGACCACGGATTCGTGAGTGGGTTGCAATTGTAGAGACTGACGCAGAGTTTTCTTGTTCTTCTTGGATGTTGTGGCACTGCTAGACGAAGAGCTGCGTGTTGACGAGAATGTGGCTGTCAGGACTGCGTCCATGTAATTGCAAAGGAGTCTCATTGCAAGCCAACGCGTTGGAGAATGTAATCAATCGAGTGGAGTCGAGGAAGGCAATTGGAAAATGACATTGATCTCAATGAGTGGACGCTAATGTACTTGATGCGAAGTCCAGACAGATTTGGGCAAAGGTGGCACTGCCGTTTCTTCTTGTCTGGTTTAAGATATGAGCAGCACGGATGCACATCCCTTTGTTCTTGCGTCCTACAAAGTCTTCTTGAAATTCATAGATATGCTGGGACCTAGACGAACTACATTTCTTGCAAGTAACGCAGCTGGCAAATCATCGATATGGTCGTCCAAAGAAAACCGAACCGCACGCACTACGGTGACGAGCCACAGACAGTGGGAGGTTTGCCGAACTCAGACAGTTATCGGCATCAAGCTTTTGAGTCGTCGCAGGGTCTATTTACCCCCTCCAAAAGTTCGATTGCCTTGCGTGCAGTAACGGTGAAGTATCGCGGCTTGATCAAGTGCGATTGATTGTTCATGCGAGTGGTAATTGTTCGTTCCATCGAAACGGCCACTCGACCATTTCATTGATCATATGCTTCAGTTCGAAGACGATTGTCACGTCGCGTGCGGTAATTTAAGGAGTCGAGTCGCACATGATTGTTCAATTATAGCTGCGTGATTGTATGGTTTCGAGGATGACGGTTGTCCGTTAGCCAAGAGTCTTTGGTTCTTCGTCACCTAAAAAAGTAGGGCTCATCGACACTTACGAATAGGAACACGGATTGAAAGCAACAATATGCGGTCTTGGTTAGTTTTTCTGGCACTGCTTGCAAATGTAACGACCTTGAGGTGGTTTATTCTAGGTAAGCAAGCACCGATGTACGTGTGCTACATCCTCCATGATGGTGCTAACTGTGTCATGTACTACCCCACGTTGTGCTGCAGTGGAAGCGACAGCATGCGCCCAAATCTGCTACACAACAGAGCTGACGGGATTCGGGCCGGGTGGCATCCCTGGTTGTTCTTGCACCGGTTCGGATGCAGGGGCACGTACTGGAGAAGGAGATTGCAATTGTGGCCAATGCTACACCAAGTCACAAGGCACCGTCTACGGCTATGCGATCAACCCTGACGGCACGTGTACATACGGCACGAACTGTGGAAGTTGCGACTACTCGTCCAGTTTATCAATCAGCACTAGCTCCACTCTCGTGACATCGACGCCGCCGTTGTCTCCCACACCGTCACCGGTGCCTGCCACCTTGGAGCATTCCATCACTTCAGGTAACATGAAGGCATCGAAAAGGTACTCGTTGTTTCGTACGCAAGACTGACTTGCTTGTTGCGTGCTTACAGAAACAAACTCATCGTCGTTAGACTCTACCTCATCGTCGTCGAGCGCTTCAACGTTGTCAAACGCGGCCTCCACATTGTCAAACACAACTTCATCGTCGACTGTCGACTCAAACAGCACATCAGACACAGCCTCTATAGACAGCAGCAGCTCTATTTCGAGCGACAAAAGTGATGAAACGACAGACAGCCTTGCAGACAGTAACAGTACGTAGAAACTTGCTGGCTCTCACTCTTGATGCTTAGAATGTTAGCTAATGTGATGCTCGTTTGTCAACAGCAATCGATATAGGTCTGCATACGTGGCAAATTATACTGGCAATTTGCTGTGGCGTGCTCGTGCTCGTCGTTGCAGTCGTGTCCGTGTGTTCGTGCTACTGCAAAGTGCGAAACCGCTTGAATGAGCACGAGGAAGCTCAAACCGGCTATTACAATCAGCAAGCGCATGGGGTTCCGCCTAAAGCTACGAGTAGATCGATACTAACAGCAGCTTCATGTATTAAATCACCGACCATTGTATAAAGCTACATTTGAATCTCTTGAAGTGTCAACTATTCGACTTAATATGCTGTAGAGCTCCATCTGAGCATAGGAATACGAAATGGCGCACACTACAGTATTTATGGCGATGACAATGTCTACTTCATGAGGTTCTTGTTATGCTTACACACTTCTATCTATCTAAACTACTTGTCTCTATTTTCCATTTCTCTTACAAATGAGTGGTAAGTCTGGGCATGCAACCCAATTAAATACACGTTACTCCCGACGTCGAGCGGTCTGCGGCCTCCGTATAAGATCAATTGACAGACTCTTGCGATGTGGCCGGTTGATACGAGCCACAAGCTCGGCCAATCTACGTAAACGATGACCAAGCCACCTTCAGGCGCCATGTGCCAGGCGTTTGGCATGTGCTCGTTTAGAAGATCCCGAGTCATGGTTTAAAGCCATCACACGCTTATTGTTATGGCGGGAGAAGAAGCGGTGGATCTTATGGAACAGAAGACGGTAGCCACTGCGTTCAATGCCATCCGACTCGGGACGTCTCGACGAGGACACGACTGACGAGTACGAGACTGTAGGCTGTGAGATCTTGACTGGTGATGCGACACGCGTCTGCTCAGCTTTTGGCACCACAATCAGCTGCGAAGAAGCAATGGAGCTGGAACGTAATAGAAATGGGTGAGATACAACCTCACCCATTGAGATGCGCTGCTCAGGATCAACCTCAAGCATGTTCGAGAGGAGATCAATAGCAGTAGCTGGGAGATCATTTGTGAGTCCCCATCGATCAATGAGTTTCCTCACACCTTTGTTCATAATGAGTCGGAATCTTGCATCCGCTGATGACGCTGTTTCCACGGGTGGTGCACCAATGAGCATAATAAACAGCATGACACCGAGGGACCAGACATCAGCTTTGGTAGCATTGTATTGAATTCCTGCTAGTACTTCTGGAGCCATGTAAAATAGTTTCCCAACAGTCTCCTTACTGAATTTAGCAGTCGAAGTAGCAAGTCCAAAGTCACAGACTTGACATTGATCGTCGTCCGTTACAAGGACGTTCTCCAACGACAGATCACGGTGTGCAAAACCATTGAGATGGAGAAACTGGACACCACTGGCAATCTGCCGCATGTACTTTTGAATAACTGGCAATTCTAGTTTGCCATCTTCTGCAGAGCTTACAAGCTCGTAGAGTTCTCCACGTGTACAAAAGTCCGACACGAGGTACAAATAGCCATCGAATTCAATCTCGTCACGTAGTTTTAGTACGTTCGAATGGCCACCGACACGATTAAGCTGATGATACAGTGCACGCTCTAGTGCCACATTCTCGCGGACCTTTTTGTTGGTAGCGAGCGTCAGCTGCGCATTAGCGGCGCTCTGCAGTACACGCTTAACAGCGACAAGATCGCCTGTGGGTTTATGCTGACACAAGAGCACATCACCAAATAGCGCAGGCGCAAGACGTCGTTGAATCACGTAATCGTCCAACTTTGCTACCATTTTTTCTATATAATAAATCTGACTGAAGGGTGTCGTGTATGTGTCTCTTTGAGTGCAAATTGGGGAATGACGAGCTCGCGGCGTCGTGCAAAAGCCGTTCTGTGGAGAAAAAAGGGCGGTTTTATCGCATATATCTTGACCATCACTCGGAGAAATGCAATCAGACGTTCAGAGGAGTATCCTTGCAATACTAAAACCAAGTGAACAAATGGCCTTGGCAGAGGGCAGGAAAATGTTTGGAAAGTTTAAATATTTGCACAAAGTATAAGACTCCAGACTTTGGCTGGCCAATGACTATCAGTAGGGCCGCATACATTATAATTAAGCGCAATTGAGGCCTTTTGTTTGTAAATATTTGCAGTTAGAACGTGCGAGGTGTGACGTGGCGGCGAATAAGCCTTTTGGATATTAATTTCAGACAGATATGAAACTGAGGTTGAACCGTTTGTTGTTGTTAAACTACGAGCACATCATCAAGATGAAGTATACCGAGAAATACTACAAGTCGACACTACGTTACTTGCAGACAAATGAGCAAATTCCAGGAACGTGAGTTGAAGCATCAAATTGGCTTGGACTATGTCTACTGATAAGACTCTTGAATACTGGGCTCTAGTATTGCAGAGGGAATGGGACTTTTTTCTCAGGATTTTTGATATCATTTGACGCGACTGGAGACGGAGCGAATCCGAGACAATCTTAGATAAATAGGTTAAATATATTCGTCGCGGTATTGTGAATCACTGTTTGCCATTTGGTTGTATCTATGTGTGTTACAAGTTGTAGTCACAGAATAAAAACACTCCATTCGATCCAGTTAGAAAGCTTCAACCACAAGTGTTTGCTACAACTTTAGTCGAGCGTATACCGACTTGTCTTTGATGGCGGCACTCGCTGGCATGCGCAAGCGACAGATGGTGCTACAGTCCCACATGAGACGATTTTTCGCTTAATTGACGCTCCCTGGCCAGAGACAAGAGCTCCAATCGCCTAATAGCGTCCGTGTCGCGTGGGATCAGATTAAAAAGAAAAGCTTTAGAACAAGCAGGAACTTATTAGGGCAGATTTGACTTGTGTGTAATTTATTACAAGGTTCTCGATTAACAGCGGTAACTGTCTTGTAGCACAAAAAGTCAGCTCGTAAAACGCTGTATCATCTTGCACCAGTACGAGCCGAAACGGCCGTGCTCCACCGTGCGCCCGTCCTTTTGGCATCATTGGAACGGCCAACAGCCGCCCACCACGCACGCTGACTTAGCAGATCTCGACCTGACTGATGTAAGAGAATTTGTAGCATATCAGTAGGAAAGACTTCGCTGGCGTGTCTTGTCGACCGAATGTTTACCGAAAATGCAATATCACTTAATTTGGAACAGCTAGTTTTTACGGGATGTAATTACCAACGTACGAGCGAATCAAATTACGTTTTAACCACTGGTGTTGAAGAGGCCACTGATGTCTTGACTGGATACGCTCATCGCATGGGGCATTTCGACAATTGCAACTGATTAGAAGGCAAGCCTATAGATGGCAATAGCATTACTCTATTTTTATAAGGAGGTTCCAGTGATGTCCAACTTTTGTTTTGGAATTACCGTCTGAAGAAGAATGAGGATATAAACTGGCTGTTTTTACTGAGGAACTCTCCATTTTCTTCTACCCGTGTCATGGGATAAGTGATGAATAGCTTTATATTCTGACACCTCTTGTATGAGTGCGAGAGATGGCGATTTGCACCGCGTGCGATCGCACACCCTCGTGCGATGAGCAGAATCATGCTTACTTTCTGATCTCCCATTAATAACAATAATAACAATTGCAGTAGCTACTAGTAGGAAAGTCTCTACACTCAGAGACGTTTTATTAGCAACACAACGTGTTACGTTCAATGACGATACAATCAATCATCTAATAACTTTCGTTCTTCCTAGCACATCGTGCGGAGTCGATAATAAATCCGAGAACAATCTGCCATTTGCACTCTTTATAGGTACTTTATTCGTACTTGACTAAGCTAAATCTGGGCAAATAGGTCCATTTCTAAGGCTTAAACCACGTACGTACGCAACCTTAAAAGCCCGTAAATATGGGGAATGAAAGCTCGATGTTAGCTGAAGAGGAATATCTTCATCACGATAGAAAGAGCGAAAGTTCAGTTGAAGGTGGCGAATGTTATGGTTTTCGTGTTCTCGGCATCCAGGAACAGTCGCCTGCTTCGACCGTGGGCTTTGTGAGCTTCTTTGACTTTATCCTCGAGGCAAACGGTATTCGTCTTGTAAGTTCTTTTTATCCGTAATTTAACGTCATTTATCATCTAAAACGTCGTCTGTGACGTGTGTGATTTATTAAGGACACTCGGGACGCTACCCTAATGGAGCTTATTGCTCAGAGTGAAGACCGTCCTATGCAGCTTCGAGTATTTAATGTTAAGGCACAGACTTCAAGAGAATTGCAATTGACACCTAGTCGCAAATGGCCAGGCAAAGGATTACTAGGTGTGACGATTCGCTTTGATTCCTACGAAGGCGCTGAGGATCAATTACTTCACGTGCTGGTACTTTGTCCATTGTTGTCCATTTAGCTATTCAATGTATCACTTTATACATGTGTTTTTTTTCTCTTCTCTTGGTAGGACGTGGCAGAATCGTCACCAGCCGAGCGTGCAGGACTCCGAGCAAATTCGGACTATCTACTGGGCACACCGGAACGTGTGTTTACTAGTGCAGAGGATCTGCATGATGAGATTCTGGACGCACTGGATGGATCATTCCAATGTTATGTGTACAAGTGGGTGACTGAGATTTATGATACCATGAGAAAAAACGTAGTCGAAATTTACGATTTCTTGTGTGTGTCTAGCTCGCTTGATGACCAGGTTCGCGTTGTGTCGATCGTTCCGACAGAGCGTTGGGGAGGTGATGGTGTACTTGGTGCTGAGGTTGGCCATGGTTACTTGCATCGACTGCCGTCTGTCTATCGGGGTACTGTTGGTTCATCGGTGGGTTTTGTCAATCTACCTAAGGATGCCAAGGCTGCAACGGATGCGTTCTGTAAGACAAGCTTTCATGCGATGGGCTGTTATTTGTGTGAAGTGTTTTGATAATAAGTGAGACGTTGGTGTGTGCACTGATGTTTCCAGTGAAGCCGCAGCGACGCGACGAGGATAGTCAAGCTACTAGCGAAGGCCACAAAGAAGGCAATGAGGTTGTCAAGTCGGATACGATGTTAGCAGACCTCTCAGCACATTCTCCACAATGTGATGCAAACCAGCAGCCGATTGATACTGAATCATCTAATCCGGAAAATGATGATACGGCCTCTGGGACAACTAGCGAGATGAAGGCCGCTCCTTTAGCAAAGCCCCGATACGTAGCACACATGGATTTTCAGCTTCCTATCTCGACTATTGCCGTAGTTGCTGACCCGTGAAGATTCAGAAATGTCATTGGCAAGATGAAAGTACTGACGTATTTCGTTACGAAGCTGTTGAATGATAAAGTGTGCGTTCAATATACTCGCTTCTTACACCAATGATTGCATACGCTTTGTCTACTGATCCTAGACAGGTGGTCGTAACATCTTCGACTTTGAGTATCACTTTTTCTATTGGACAGGAACAGAATGTAACGGGGTTACACGACGGTTGTAGCGTCTTTCCGGGAGTTTACGGTTGAACTCCCCTTGTATTGCATATAATGCATTATGATACTTCTCTTTAGAGAGGTATTAAGTATAAGCGTTGAGATACGGTATTCGGTAATACCGTATCTTATCGATTAGGATCGATAACGCTGTACTAAGTACATCATACACAGATGTTTAGACGATACGTCGTCCAATAGCAAAGTCTGCATATAATAATTACTATTATAGTAATTAATCTATTGTAGTGTACTTAGAGTAGGACTATTCATAAAATCTTAAAGCATAAATAAAATCAGTTCTCCTTTTGAGTTTAAGATCACAAGTCGTTCTGACTTGTTCTCTTGTGCACTTCGTGCGTTGGTTCTCTGAACCTCTAAGCTTCTAGCTTGTTCTTGCACCCTGTGCGTTGGTTCTCTGAACCTTAAGCTTATTGCTTGACTGACTAAAGTCTCTCTCCTAGTTCCTTAGAACAGGGTTACTTTCAGTCGTTTAATTAGTTCCTTAGAACTAAGTGGCTTTTAGCCTTAACTCTATTTAGTTCTCTCGAACTAAGAGGCTTCCAGCCGAAAGTCTTCCTCTGGCTAAAGAGCTGTGTAGCTCCGCTACACTTGGTAGCACTCATAGTCAATCCTACACCTGAGTCTTTAAAGACTGACCCTCTGTGAGAATGGAAAATCAAAATCACCTCTCTGAGGCACAACGACTCGCCTTAGATAAACTATCGGCGTTCGTCGGGCCCGATCAAATCGAGGCCCTTTTGGCCCAAGGCCCCGAGGTTCTAAATGCTCGTCTTGAGGCCTTTATGCGTTATGAAGCAACGCTCCTCGGGCAGGTCCATGACCAGGCAGCGTCAGCTGCGCCTACACAGTACATCCCGGTACCTGTGCCCGATGCAGAGCCAAAGGCTCGCCCACTTGTTTTAAATGTAAAGACCTTCGAGGGGAAGGAGGGAGAGAACCTTCTCCTCTGGATCCGAGAAGTTGAAATGGCAATGGATGCCGCCATGCTTGTATCAGATAAGCAACGAGTTGGTTTGGCCATTTCGAAGCTCGGTGGAAGAGCTAGAGAGTGGGCTCTAACGAGCGGTGTCTCTGTAAATGCTGCATTTCCCACATGGGAAATGCTTAAAAAGCAATTAACTTGTGTGTTTGCACCGCCTAATCAGGCTTATCGTGTGCGCTCACGCTTCCTAGCTACCCGACAGGGTAAGAAAGAATTGTCGGACTATGTCCAAGAGTTGAGAACTCTCATTGCTGCTATGCAGCAGGACCCACTGGCAGAGGAAGTCCGAGTAACCATTTTTATGGAGGGACTTCGCACTGGGGTCGCCAGGACGGAAGTTTTCCGTGTCCAGCCTTCAACTTTTGAGGAGGCAGTAAGCGTAGCATTTAACGCTGAATTCAATTTTAAATCTGCTCGATATGGTCTGCCCTGGTATCAATCAAATACCTCTAATAGGGCGGAACCCATGGACCTCAGCCATGCTGAGGAAGCTGAGCTTCAAGCTGCTGAGCAGCAAGGTAGCATCCGTAGATGTTACATGTGCGGAAGCACTAGGCATCTCCGCCCTAGCTGTCCGTTGCGAAAGCAACGTTCAAATCAGCAAAGCCGAAGCCCTGCTCCTAGCCAAAAGGCGAGCACCGCAGGGGAAAATGTCGACTCCCAGTAGGCGCGGGGCGCCCTACTGGGAAAGAACTAAGTTCTGTTGAATCTTTAGGAGGTAAAGGTAAACAGGGCTTAGCCCCAGGTGGTTCTGTGGATGCTCCCATAGAACAAAATTACAAGCCAGGCTTGTTGGTTGTGTCGGCAACCGTTAAGGGTTTTGAGAAACCCTGGTCAATTTTAATTGACTCAGGGGCGTCAGGGAACTATGTCCGACGTCGCTCCCTTGAGGGGAGTCAGCTGTATGCTGAGGCGCTGGAAGCACAAGAGGGTGACAGTATAACCGTACGTCTCGCGACTGGTGTACGTGTCACCGTTCCTAAAGTTCCGTTGAACTTAGGTGTGAAATTTTTAGATTTCAATAGCGTTGAACGCTGTCTTGTCCTAGATTTGGACTCGAGATATGATCTCATTCTCGGTATGGCCTGGCTGAAACGCCATGAGCCGTGGATCGATTGGAGATCCAAAACCTTAGGCGCAACGCGCAATGTTCCTAGCGAAGCTTTGGAGAGTCATGAACCCACCTTCGCTAGAAAACAAAAGTGCTATTGGCGCGAGCCATTAACTGATTCAGTTAATGTGCTGGACATTGGAGTGTCTGAGTTGATAAACTCCGATGTCAACAATAATAGTGTCGAGCAGAGCTCAATGACACTTAGTGGAACGGCACGTACTCCGTTAAGTGATAATCATAGTAATATTGGCTGTAAATGCGATTTACTGGATGTCGGTAATGACATCGGCTCTCGTATAGATCAAGTTAAGGTCAATGACCTTGTTAGTGATATTGGCTGTAAATGCGATTCACTGGATGTCGATAATGACATCGGCTCTCGTATAGAGCAAGTTAAGGTCGATGACCTTGTTAGTGATATTGGCTGGAAATGCGATTCACTGGATGTCGGTAATGACATCGGCTCTCGTATAGAGCGAGTGAAGGTCAATGACCTTGTTAGTGAAGTCACTGGTACTAGTGACCCACTGGATGTCGGTAATGACATCGGCTCTCGTATAGAGCGAGTGAAGGTCAATGACCTTGTTAGTGAAGTCACTGGTACTAGTGACCCAATGGGTGTCGGTAATGACATCGGCTCTCGTATAGAGCGAGTGAAGGTCAATGACCTTGTTAGTGAAGTCAGTGGTACTAGTGACCCATTGGGTGTCGGTAATGACATCGGCCCTTACATAGGGCAGGTAAACGACAAGGGGTCTGTTGACCTTGGGGACGATAACATCCCAAGTACTTTGAAGAGTACGGTCTCGTCAAGGAGACGGCAGCGTCGCCAGATGGCGGCTGCGAGACGCAAAGCGTCTGTTTTATCGCATAGTAATGTCAATGACCAGTTGTACACCCTGGTCAACGGAGTGACAGGTGATGTAGATGGTGAGGTTGACCTTGAGGCCCTCCCATCATTAAATGCTCTTTTAGAGCTAGGCGAAATGTCTGTGGATGTATTTCATCAGGCCTTGAAGGCAGGTGCTCTGTCCGATATGGTGGTCATTCGACCTAACCTCGAGCTGAACTCATCCTCGCTTGTCGATGAGACAGTCCTTGAAGATACCAAAGCGGCACTAAGTGCACGTAGTGGGGAATCTATTCTAAAGGAACCTTCAGATCCCTACTATCCTTTGGTAAAAGAATTCCAGGACGTGGTGTGTCACGATCCACCGTCGGTTCTACCACCTGATAGGGGCGTACGTCATGAAATTGACTTGGTTCCCGGAACCAAATACTGTGTAACACGGCAGTGGCCTTTACCCAAAGAACAGTGTGACGTCATTGACGAGTTCTTTCGTACAAAGCACGCGGCGGGCATGGTGCGTGAAAGTAAATCTCCGCACTCGACACCCACTTTCTGTGTTAAGAAACCAAATGGTAAATGGCGTATTGTTCATGCTTATAATAAGCTCAATGCGGCCACTATACCTGCACAGACACCGATACCTAGAAAGGATGTTCTTCAGAACAATATGGTCGGTTGTACCATGTACAGTGCGCTCGACTTAGTCGATGGTTATTACCAATTGCTCATGCGAGCTAGTGATATTCCGCTTACTGCTGTTAGTACTCCGAGCGGTATGCTCTGGGAGTGGTTAGTGATGCCCCAAGGGCTATCTAATGCTCCGGCTACGTTTAACCGTTTGGTGACGCAATTGTTTCGACCCCATCGAAGTTATGCACAGACGTATTTTGATGACATTTTTATCCATAGCCGAGCTGAACATGGGCGGTCAGATATTGAGAACCATATTGTTCATTTACGAGCAGTGCTCGAGTGCATGCGCACTAATAAATTATATGCTAATGCCTCTAAGTGCATCTTCGGGGCCGAAGAAATTCCCTTTCTAGGGTGCTTCATTGGGAAGCGAGGACTACGAGCGGATCCCGCCAAAGTCAAAGCCATAGTCGATTGGCCTGTTCCACAATCTCAGAAGGACTTGCGTAAATGGCTTGGCCTTGCCAATTACTTACACAAGTATAGCGAAAATTACGCTGATATGGCTCGGCCGTTATCCAATCTCCTTAAAAAGGATGTGGAATGGTGTTGGCATGCCGAACACGAAAATGCTTTTCAAGCAGTGAAGGCAAGCCTTCTACATGCTCCTATTTTGGCTTTGCCAGACCCTGACCGACCGTTTAGCGTCGTCTGTGACGCATCGGATTTTGCCATTGGCAGTGCTCTGTTACAATCAGATGATGAAGGCCGTGAGCGTGTAATCGCTTTTGATCTCGCCAGCTGAAAGCTGCAGAAAAGAACTATCCAGTTCACGACAAAGAGCTACTTGCGATGAAGTATGCCCTGGTCAAATTCAGAGTTCATCTGCTGGGCTCAAAGCCTTTTGTGATCTATACCGATCATGCGTCGTTACGCACTGCGACTCAGTCGCCGCATCTCTCGCAGAGAATGGCCAGATGGCTGTCATTCTTTGCCGAATATAACTTCGAGGTGAAATATAAGCCGGGCAAGCAAAATGCTTTGGCTGATGCGTTGTCACGCAGACCTGATTATGAGCTTGCTCATGTGACGATGTTGTCGTCTTCTATCACCGATCTCATTCGTACGGCGTATGCTAAAGATGATCACTGTATAGCGTTGCTACATGCTCTTGGCAGTGAGGAG